CATGCAACCCAGCATGTTCCGCACCATGCGAAAGAGGGCACCGTCTAAATCGATCTGCAGCACGCTAGGCAAGGAGTGCAGGTGGGACGGTAAAACTGAGCCAAATGGAAGTTGAAGTGGAGCATTCAACTTCACTATGCCAAGAAATTAGACCTGTACTATCAAATGAAAAGAAACATTTTGCAAGACCTATCTGAAGCAAGTCAACAATGTGAAAATCGATGATCTTCAGAGACAATTCTGGCTTGCTTCAAAGGGTGCGTCTTCAGTTCAAAAACTGCTGTGGCAAGAGCTAATTAGCCAGAAACACAACTGAAGGGCACATGTCCGAAATTAGCATGGGTAAAGAACGTGCACTTGAATGTACGAGTACTTTGCGCTGTAATTCCACCCATGCCCGTGCAATTATATTTGATCAATTGTCTTTTGTAGTAGTCTTTTTTCCTTGGCTAGTGTTTGTGCTAGACCTGGTTGATGGACAGGGACCTGGATGAAACTGGCTAAAAGATTGGTGGTTCGGCTAGATCTCGTGACAACTTACCTGTGCCCAGGTGTTCATTGTCAATGGCGTGCGCTGCAAAACATTGGCCTTTTCATCAGAATCAATTAGGGAATATATGGGGATGGGTCAAAACCTTGTACCCTGGTGAACATCAAAATAGCTGGTAAATGGATGTTCATCCCACTAAAAATGGTATTAATAGGTATTGATCCATAGCCATATGGGAATATCACCTTGTACTGATCAACATACCTTGATGAGGCACACCTGCAGTTGTTCATCCCATTCTGAAGTCCCAGTACGACTGGATAAGAAATCCCAATTAGTGCGTGGTCAATAACCATCATATCCCCTAGTGAAATATCAATATCTATATATCTCCAATATCTCCTCACTTATGTATAGATTATATACAGCTTATATATACCTTATATGATCTTATATGTTTACATGGGCCATATAAATTGATTTCAGACCCGCAAGAAAAATTGCACCTCGACACGGCATCTTTGACCCGGGATCTCATCCACCTGACGAGTTGGTAACTTAGATGTTGGCCAAGAGTTGTGGGCTAAAAAAATGTTAGAAACTTAGATAGTTGAAGGTGTATAGGTCATTATAGATCCATACTACCCTCTAGTTATAACTAACACTTCGAGCCTGGAAATAGCCAACTGCCAACTTGTAGTAGACACTAATTTTCCAAACCCCATTTAAGGCAGGGTCTATGTTAATTTGGGGAGGGCGTATCAACTATATATGTACCTCTATGGCTAGATAGATATCACCCCAGTCCAAGTATAGATGCAGTTGATAGGTCAGTTGGTTTATGGTGGATATATCCTTGATGTGACGATAAATCAACTGATGATTGAGGGCCCTTCCGGTAATATTGAGGCAAATTGAAATAGATCTCATTGTTGCAAAACTATCAACCTGATCATGAACTATTATGTATGAATCAATAGAAGATTAAACTCAATCGAATGAATGGGCCTAAATTGGTGTAACATGGTCTAACTATATAGGTCTAATAGGTCTAATCATCCAAGAATCTCGACAATTAGCGGTCTCAATGGTTCCCTACAACCCCGTCTTGCTGCAAAGGCATGCCAGGCAGCACGACTCGAACATCCTCAATTCTTCTCAGGCTACTCCTGGTGTTGCCGGCTGCCATACCAACATTGGTACCTCTAAAATGATCAAAGGTCATCAAAATGGTTTCAAATTTAGGTGCAATACATGGAAAATCTTGGAGCATAATGACAGCATATGGGATAGTTCAGAAGTCCAAGTTCTGAAATCCCCTCACGTATTGGATCCCCATGGGAGTCCTGTTGCCCTCTAACTTTGCCAGCTGGGTGAAATGCCTTGAAGCTTTCGAAGATAACCCAAGCTCACAATGACGAACAAAAATGATACCCGAGACAGTGAAGATTCTAGATGTCTCTAGCCTCTACCTGTCAAGTAATACATTTGTACATATTCTGATTTAGCATGATGCCCTTTCGAAATCTTTAGAATCTTGAGACAGCCTCCCCATGCCCCTTCTTAAACTCGGCCAAGAAGCGCAAAATCATGCAAGCCAACGAAATGCTGAGCTGCTGAACGCAGCAAATCTAGATCGAAGACACGTACCTGGTGCAAGGTATTCAGTGATATTCATGTAGAATACACACGAAGCATCCCCTTCGGGTGGGTCACCCAGCCATGAGGCATGGCGAAACAGAAGAACCTGCGCAGAAACCCCACGGCCCAAAGAAGGGACATTTAGAAAACCTGATAAAACTATATAAAACTGCCTTCCAGGACTCAAAAACCCTCACCAATCATCCCTAAAATCTAAAGCCATTCGAATGCGCCTGGCAAGAGGATCTTCTGGATCTTTGCTGTAGTGCAATCTATACACCTCAGGTATCATAATCTCCGGGTCTGCACAATTTATGGTTTATCAACTAAAATGCGCATTGAAACGAACATGTTTTAGGTTGCTATCAAAAGAAACGTATACATTGCAGTACTATGTAGCATATATGTATATAATTGTATATACATGGCACGTATCTAATAATTATAGTATATTTTAGTACAATATAGTACATATAACAAGCTAATTTCTGGACAGTCCCAGCCGCCCTGAGGTCCAGGCATAAGTTTTCCCACTCGCTGAAAATCGGGCGTGAAACTCGTGCGGCGCATCCTCGACGTTCCTGGAAAGCGGCTGATGGAAACCATGCATAGTGCCACTAAAGATATAAAGTTTTGATATAATATACATATACACATATTATATATATATGATAAATTTCCAATAATTTCCATGAATGTCCTCTATCAAACGGGACTAGAATCCCCCTGTAGTCCCCTATAAACATCTATAAACCACCATCAGACCGGGCTTTTCAACACTGCTCTCATCAAGACATCCCTTCAGCTGAGACACCTGACACGTATATCTCCGGGTAACTGCTGGTTCAGCTTCCGTTGCCACTGTTCCTCACGTGCCAATTTGCTAACTACTGATCGGAGCTGGAGGAGCTGAAAAATGAGGTTACCCTCTGGTAAACATACAAAAAGCTATTGAAAATGACCATAGAAATAGTGGATTTTCCCATTAAAAATGGTGATTTTCCATAGTTATGTTAGTTTACCAGAGGGTACTGCAAAAGGCGTGGCGGATCCTACATCGTTTCCATTGCCCGACCTTGCTTTGATCACCTGACCTTGCTTTTCCACGCAGACCCACCTCGTCTTGAAATGTTCTGAACCTATATAATTCTGGGGTTAAAACAGAAAGTAAAAGCCATAGTATTTAATTGCATTGTTTTAGGCCCAAAAAACATAAAACACATCAACCTTAGAATCCTCTGAGTTTTTGATCCCAAAATGTGAAATGAGTCCTGCCACTTCGCGGGCCGCGCTGCTGCCAGCTCTTCCGGGATGTCGAAATGGGCTGCCTGGTCCCAGTCTCGTTGGGATTGCGTCCATCCCCCAGCTCTGCAGGGATGGGGTAGTGGCTCGCCTGTCCGCCTAGTGTTTGAGGGATGCGTCTTATCCACTAGACCATACCGGCCCTCTGAATATGTTTGATAGGTTTTAGGAATCTTTAGCACCCTTACAGCATGGAAAGATATGTTAAAGATATGTAAAGATATGTTAAAGATATGTAAAGATATGTTAAAGATATGTAAAGATATGTAAAGATATGTAAATTATGTAGAGATATGTAAATGTAAAGTGTAAAGTCCGTAATTGGGGATCAAAGATAATCAATTAGGGATGGACAGTCAAACATGTCTGAAATCACCAATCAGGATCTGATATCAAGGAAAACTCATGAATCTCAATACATCTAAATATGCGAGTTGCCACAACATGCCCACCGAAAGCATTGACATCCTGAGACCAACAGAACACTTGCCTGGCCCTGCGCGTGCACTCCAGCATCAGTCCTCAAAGTGCTGATGTGAACTCTCACACATTTCAAGAAGGACACTTGCTGCAAGAATCTCCGCACCCTGGACTCAGTGAATAGAAACATTATAATAACAATAAAGAAAATACATGAAAACTCGGTAAAAACCCGGATGATCATTCAGATCTGGGTCTGGCGCATTCCAAGCTCCAAAGCTGGACAGCTCCGGCATCTCTCTTAGGATTCTGAGGCTCTGCACCGACTGGCACCACAAACAAAGATCTTCTGGCGCAGCTGCAACGACAAAGCACCTGGGTCGATGGGGCTCCAGGGCCCCAGGGGGCGGAGCAGTGCCGTGAGGGCTGGGTTCCGCGCGGTCCAGCATGCCTGCGACAGTCAAAGGTGATCCACCCTTCACCTCAGCCATGCACAGATCACAATAGTCATTTTGGATGAGCCGCAGCTTGTTTGATGTTAATGTCAATATATGTCAATGTCCACTTTAAGTGCGGTGTGGCTTTACACAAGGGAGAGTGAACCCTCGAACTCCCTCGAACTCTGTCTACAAGCAGCTGCAAGTAGACATGACACGAGTCCAAATGGCTTATACATATGACAGGTAGATACAGGATGATACAGGTAGGTAGTCTATGATATAGTCTTTGCTCAGTTTCAATTTTTTTAATAATCATAAATAATCCAGATCGCAACTGCAACTTTCGCTGCTTTCGCCTAGACACCCTGGCCCAGCCATAGTACTGGCCTCCATCCTGAGTTTGGCGACCGCTGTGATCACTCGATTGCTGCTGTTCAAACTGCAAGCATTGCAAGGTAGGTGAGGTAACTGCTGCATAAAACCTTAATTCATGCATATTCATGCTAAACAGCTTCAATTCTTCTTTCTTGACTTCAAGGCGTAGCTTTGGGTTTTCAGATCCAAGATTCATCAAGATTCTCCATCTTAAAAACTTTCTTATAGGTGCTATCAGGGACATCTTTCCGAACCGAAGATCTGGGCTGCTGTGCATATGCCACTCTTAAGCGCACACGGCGCTGGCCCTCAGCCACAAGGCTTCGCGTCTGTGGTCCATCTGCTGCCTGCTGGATTGAGCAGGGACCGATTCTCTCAAAATGGGTGGTGCTCCAAATTTACCATTTGCATGGGGGAAATTGATGAGATAAACATAGATAAACCATACGTTGATAACCACATAGATAACCACTGGATTTTGGCAACCAATTTTTAATGGACAACAACCCAAACTGTTCAATTACGAGCTGTTTGCCAAGTTTGCCTCATCCACTTGGTTGGCAAGCTCCTCCATGGGCGATGGCCTTGGGTGCTTCAAGGTTCATCTTCCCATTGTCGTTGCACTCGCAAGGCAGCAAAATGGTCAACATCGGCGCTCATTCCCCGCCACAACGATGCAGATCCTTTCCACAATTTCATTCTAAATCTATTTAAAATCGATGAACATGAGTGAAAATCCATACAGATCCGCCATGATCTGCCCATCTTCTCATTCAACGGTACGAAGCTCCAGACCACTGGGCCGGCCCAACCAACTTCGAGTCTTCACAGCCCGCAACAGCTCGCCATAGCGTTGCCGCTCGGCTGCCTTGCGCCATGTAGGTTGGGAACAACAGCGATCTACTCTTAGGATCAGCGCCTCAGGACTCCGCAACTCAGGAACGAGACAGGTCTGACAGGGCGTGGGCGACATGGGGGGAGGGCCACATTGCTCCAAGTTGGCCTCAATATTAAGTAGGTTTTTCTGATGAACTATATTATAATATATTACATACATTGACTTCTCTCGATCCAAAATCCTGGAACTGGGTCCTCAATGCAAAATCTCAAAGATGATTCATCCACCCACCATCCGTTCAGCATAGGGTTGATCTTCGGTTGAGCACCCGCAGCCGCGCCGCAGCCTGTATGACAAGGGCAACCGTAGCCAAAGCCAGCAGTCGGAAGCAACCTGTCGCAGTAGACAAGTTGGCTCAACATTTGACCAAAGTTGATGATCCAAGTGTACCGACGTGGCCCTACAATATGTCAATATCTTTTCTGAATCAACATCCATGAACATATATTGGAATCATAAAAATGCAGATATACAGATTGTATATGATTGTATTAAATTGTCACAAACATTCAAGAAAAGAAAAGTCTGTATCCAAGTGCCTCGGGCGCTGACGGAAAGTCTCATCTGTGGGGACACACCGCACAAATGAAATGAGTAGGTTGCCTGTCCCTACCTGTATAGAAACAAGTAGTGCTTCATCATGGCCAAGTGAGGCATGCAATCATGATTAATCATGCACCTCAGGATCATCAGGATCAGCTAATGAGACCTGTTGAGACCTGTTGAGACCTGACCCAAAACATCGTGCAAAATCAAATGGTTCAAATGGTCACAATAGCCGTGCTTTCATGGGCGATCCTGCTGAAAGTGTCGGGCCACGAGGTCGCGCTGGAAAGCAGTAGCCACTGAGGTCTCACTACAACTCAGCTCATGTCAAAACAGTACGTTGCAATATTTGCATCAAAAAGGAGGAAAAATCATGAACAATCATGAAAACACATAAATATATGTCGATCACGTGATTTGTTTCACATTCATTTCATGTGATTTGTTTCACATTCTATCATGTCGTATCTGGGGGTGAAGAAAAACGGTTGCAGCATCAGTTACCGCCCAGTTCTTTTTTGGCCCGTGCCTACTATGGTACTAGGTTCACACCCAGCACAACCAACCAGTCATTCAGCACATCCCTCGGGTCGCATGTGTGACACAACGTATGACTGTTTTTTGTCTTCATCAAACAAATAGCTTGGTGTCATAAGTTTGGTGGGGTTGACATATTCTGAGCCTGCAAGCCACGGGGATGTGAATGGCTTCTTCGATCTTCTTCGCTTCCGTTGAAGGAATCGTCGAATTCATCGGGATCTGTCACAAGCTTAGCGACCTCAAAGAACGTTATGCTGTCATTCTGTGACATATCCCTACAGTACAACACTATAGCTGATAAGTGCAGCGTCTGCGACACAGACAGGGAAGCCAATCTGCGATTGGCCAATGGAACTAGCTACCCAAACGGCTGCATCAAGAAGGCCGAAACGATCCATTTCGGCTCCTGAACAACCTATCCCCAGGGAAACTCAAGCTATTGCAAAGCTGCCACGAGCACATCCTGAAAGGAACCCACGGCTGGCTAACACATCAAGAGTTGCAAATCCGCAGTCTCTCAGCCATCAAAACCATTCAGAATCATTCAACATCAACAGTTTTTGGCTCTTCCCTCCACATCATCTTGCATCATTTCACATCATCTTCTTCAATGGTGCATGGCATCATGGTCCAGAGAGTCTGTCCGAAACATGACATTTTAGGCCACCAGAGTGATTCTCTTGGCGCGGGTGCGCTCAGCCATGTCCACCGCATCCAAAGCCGTGGCCACGGCGCTGGCCACTGCGCGGCGCTTCAGGCTGTAGCCGGGCGGTCGACATCGCCAGGGGCTGGGACTCTCACTGCGATCAGCGGCGCCCCGGGACGTCGCTGCCTTGTCCCGGCGGTCCCGGCTTTCGCCGCCATCCTTGGAATCCTTCGAATCCTTGGCCATGGCGGCCATGGTGGACATGGCGGACATGGGATGCGCAGGTGGAACAGCCTCCTCTGGAAACTCGAAGGTTTCGAAGATCTGCTGTTTGCGCTGTTTGTTGCAAGATCTTCGGGGTTTCTGCTGCGGCGTTGGCAGAGACCTGTCGGGGAGCAGTTCACAACGCCAACACTAATTGAAGACAGCCCACAGCACCCGGAAGGATGAGAGTCAGAAATAGAGACCGTAAAGTATCCCCAAAGTTGGACAATGGATGACAATGGTATATAACATTATACAACCCAAAACCGACACGCTACATGGACCAAATTGACCGGTTAGAGAAGGCTGAACGGTTCAACAGGTTGTCTGGTTGTCTCCCCGTCCGCACCTTGCTGGCTCCAGGATACATCGTCTGCGGGCAAAGATCAACTCTCAACACAAGGACCACAGGACGTCCCCAGAGATGACATATACAGTATCCGCAATATGATCAACATGCATAGCACACTCCTGATGCGCCTTTAGACTTGTTGATGGAGGTTTCATCTCCAATGAGATATCATCGACATGATGCCTTTAATATCAGTGTTTCAAACACTCGGTGTTCTGTCATGGTCGTGCCAATTGTCCATGATCCTTCCGATATACTATCTATCTATAGAATCTTTAATGACCATCATCATAGAACCAATATCATCACCATCACTGTCCTACTTTTCACCACCACCACCACCACGACCACCACAACCACCACAAACCACCATAACCATCATCATCATCATCAGCAGCAGCAGCAGCAGTGTCTTCATACTTGTCATAATATATGTTCTTCATGTTGTCTTCCATTGTTTTCATCATGTGTTTCAGCAGTTTTTAAATCAAGTTTCATGTTTCATGTCGTGTTCCATCATATTTATCATCATATGTTTCAATAGGATTTTTGTGCGTCATAAGTTTCATCATGTTTTTAAACATGTTTTATTTAAACGGTGCACCACTTTTTCTGTAATCTGTTTTGATCACATGACTTTTTCATCCGCGTGTTCAGCATATGTTTCCATAATGGCGTCCATCAGTTTGTTCATCTTCCATTTCATCATCTTACGCATCATATGTTTCATCATGATCTAATAGGTATCCCGTTAATCAATGTTAATCATGGCTATCATCCGCAATCAATTAGGCTGGTTACTAACCCCAATTACTGCTGATCAAACGCCATATCTCCACATAGTATTCCCATCATCCACTGGGTTGCTACAAGGTAAGGCCCAGTTATGTGAATGTTGGTTTCTACACCCACTAACTATAGATACCAAATAACGCTACCGTAAAACCATAGTTAATCTGGTATGGTAGATAATATCTCTAGTTAAATATATAGATATATCATATATATCAACCATTGATATATCTAGATAACTATGGCTATAGTTGGTACAAATGATATCTACTCTAGTTAATTACATGTATATATATATATACCCAATATATAATGAATATATATATATGTATAATATGTGTATAATATATACATATATATATATGTATGATGTATATATATATATATACGAACCATATTGACCATAGTAAGTCAGCCATGTTTTACCTGCGCCATTGGGCCCCGGGCCCACGGTGAGCTGCTGCATTTGCCAAGGCCACACTGAAGACCTTCGTGGGGCGACCACGAACGGGACGTGGGGCACGGGAAAATCTTTTTAAAGTGATTATAACTTGGGTGAAAAAAGTTGATTATATAAGTTTATATCTAAATCCTTGTTGATTATAAGTTGATGCTGTATCTAAATTGGGTGCATATACACCATTGGTGATCAAGATGTTGATCAATAGTTCTGTAAGCATGAAAGATGGTTATAAGATGTTATAAGTCGAATCATGAAAAATGGGTATGAGTCGATATCAAAATTGGGTGTGTATTTTACATAACATAATGCAACTGATATATGATAATATATGTATAATATGTTCAAACCAACAAACATGTTCTAGCTAACATTCCTGGCAGTATCTGGGATATGACTTCCAAAGATTGGGTCATTGTATCAATGGGCATTGAATTCTGCAGTATATTAACAACAATGGGGATACTCCAGTCACACATATCACATGGGAATAGCTGGGGATAACTTATCCGGGATAGCCAACATACTTGGAGAATACAATCACAGAGTAACAAATAGGGGACAACAAGTTCGCTGCAAAAGTAGCAAAAATAATTGGAGGATGACCGACAACTACCAGAATCATGGTTGGGATAACTGAATGAATGGGATGCACAAAACTTGGATAGCCAAAAGTGCTGATGTATCACTCCTCACAGGATCCCATATCACAATATCACAGTGGTAAGGTCACTTGCAGTGACATACAATCGACTTCCAAAGCGTAGGACTTAGACTAATGGACCCACAACTTTCTCACCATGTTCAGTACCAAAATATCCTTAGTGACCGTTAGTGTCAATGGATTTTGAGTCACCACCATCCGACATTCCCATGGCATCCCATGTCTCGAAATTGGCTTCTGATCATCGGATCATCGACGGCAAAACCACTGGGCCAAGGGGGCCATTTTTAGATGTGCAATATGATTACCACACGAATGATGGCAGCTTGATGCAAATCAAGCTGAAGTGAAGCCCTTAAGTGAAGCCCGAACTGAAAAAGCCTGCTCAGCACACAGAGCCGCTGTTGTCTCCTCCTTTGCTGCTCTTGTACCTGTCAAAACTGTGAAAAACGTTTCTTCTGATCCCAAAACAATATGTTGACCGGTATTTGAAGTCTTATTTGCCGGTATCTGCAGCAAAACGAACTGTATGATAATTGCAAAATGTGTGTTCGATCCCAAATCAACACATGGTTTGCGCCAAAACAGTACATAGTTTATGCACTATTTTGCCAAACAAAAACAACAAACCAAACAATGTCTGCATCAAACAGTTGAATCGTCGGTCTTCAGTCGAAGTCACCTAGCCTGGCCAAAAAAAAAGGCGGCGTCACTCGATTGAGAAATCTACAGGCAACCATGGTTTTTCAAACCCAAGATTCAAACACATATATTTTAATGGGCTTTATGAAGGGTTTCCTGAGTTTTCCTGTATGTTTTCCGTTATTTTCCAGTTCTATAAAATTGTAAACATATATGTTGACGCCTTTTCTCTGCCTCCCCAAGCGGATTCCCCTCCGAAGGGGATGTGTTTTGTACACACCGCCGCAAGGTTCAATTCATCAATTCACCATGGCCAGGAAAAACAACAGCATCACCTTGAAGAACACGATATGCCGAGGTTCTGCAGTACACAAATGTGGTACTCAATACAAACAACTTATGCCTCTATGCATGGATTGTCATGGCTTTTGTGATTCAGGACTACCTCTGCAGAAAATAACACCTCCAACAAGATACCATGGTTTTCAGCGCTTGCAAGCATCCAAAAAAGACCGTGCTGTGGCGGATGGTAGAACAGTGCCCATCTCATTTCCACTCACGAATTGTCCTGGCAAAAAGCATAGATTTTCTGGACACCCACATCGACAGTTTGATGTGTCTTGATGAGTGCAGCTTGTTTCAAACTCCTGATGTCTGAATGTAGAAGTGTAGCATGGACACACGAAGAAGTTCGGCCACCGCATTGGATTGTCGATGTGTGTAACCGCAAGCTTTCTTATGGTTGTCTACGATTACAAAACATCTTTGAATCTACTAAACATGTCTAAAAACGACCATCCATTTGCAAGTCCCCCCTTGTCTTTTGGCAACCTCTCCTCCTTCCCAGATTAGATCACCTTGGCCTTCTGCAATCGACCTTCCGCAGCTTAGCTCCATGGACTTCTCTGAAAAATTATAGATGTTATTCCTCCAATCCACTAGTCATCATAGATTGAATGGCAATTTTTGGTATCTCCCATTTTTCAATCCACGTTGGGATCTTGGATCATGGGACTGCAGGAAACCCAGCCCAACACTTCAAAAAAAGGCCATGGCATGCCATGGCTTCCTGATTTGCCCAACTTCATCCAACAAAAGTATGGTGAACTATGGTGAACTTAATTAACTTATGGTTAACTCCCATTTTGATGGTCAACTCCCAACGAAATCCATTGATCCAACATGCTAAGGTCAGTACCAGCTGCTCGTACCAGCTTGGCCTCCAAGCTGTGCGGTGCTGCCGGCGAGAAATTGGGCTCTCCGTTCGTGGCAAATTGGGATTTCACCATATCGTTCACCATAGACTATGGGGATGGTGAAGCCAGCATCATTTGGGTCATTTGGGTCATTTGGGTCATTTGGGTCATTTGGGTCATTTGGGTCATTTGGGTCATTTGGGTCATTTGGGTCATTTGGGTCATTTGGGTCATTTGGGTCATTTGGAAGTATTTGACCCTGAAAATGGATGGTTCAATGATGGTTCAATGCAAATATGCTCAAAATGGCATGAGAATTCCAGCAGTTCATGGGAACACCATCCTCGATTCACCATCCCATTGTTCTTGGGTAAGGTCCTTTTGAGGTCTATAGTTTGTACCAATATGCAAAGAAAACCCTTATTAAGGGTCTATATGTGTTCAAATCTTGTAATTCCGAGATGGTTTAATGAGTGCCCAAATCACCGCATCAGCAAGACCACAAATGTCCGTAGGCACCAAAGTCTCAAATTTCTGTTTCTTTTGTCCGGATCTGAATCCATTTGCACCTCCCGCTCTCGTGCCGCTTGTTGCTGCTGTACGCGAACCTGCAGGGCATTTACTTCTAAATGCCCCAAACGTTCTTCCACTGGTTTAGGAAAAGGATGAATTCCAAGAGGTCATCAAACTGCGAAGATTCTTCATCAGCAAGTGCGTCTTGGCCATTCCCGTCTCTTGGGTTTACTGTAGCATCTCACTTAGCAAGTGTTTAACAACCTGCTTAAAAAGTCTGGCAGCTGGGATCTTCCACATATATATGTATATATACTGTAGTATATCTGACTTATACTGATATCATATTGGACAAGTTCCCACAAGGTACCCGGAAATGAACTATCCAACTAACTTATCATATCCCCATATTAGACCCCAAATATTATGGCCCGCAAAGGCATAAATCCATTATTGTTCACGAAGGTTACGTGGTGTTTGTAATATTCCTTTCCCATTCTTTGAAGTTGTGACAGTTGTGCAAGCATTTTGGTTCAGGACGGGATAAATGCTGTTATGGCGTTGTTCAAATGGAAAAATATGGAAAACTCTCCCAGGCAGAAAGGTCACCTCTGAATGCAAGGCTTCCGCCCTCACGGCTAACTCGAAGCAGAGCTTCCCTTGTTGCCGAAAGCGTTGGCCTTCTGCCGCGAGTTCCTGGACGACATGACGTGGCTGTTGGAGTTTCCATGGCTGTTGGATCAAATTCAGTTAGTTCAAGGTGACTTAACAAGACAAAAAAAAAAAATGCCCAAATTGGGTAAAATTCGACATGGTGTCATTGTTGGGTTAAAATGGGTTAAAGGCAATGATCACATTTCAGGCTTTGTGCGAAAATAGGGAGGCCCAAAAAAAACAACCATCGATTTATCACCATTTTCCCACCATTCAATGGCCATTCAAAAAGGGATCTCCCCAATGGGCTCTTCGCTGATCACCGCTGGGCCTTGCTCAAGCGTCGCAGCTGGAGTTCTGTGCTGTTTTTTCCAGGGGAGGGATGAGCAGCGCCTGAAAAGGGCTTCGTCACGACAACTTATATCCACTTGCTATATAGATCTATAATGATCTATATAGTATTGTGATGCATTGTGTATGTATGTGTATGTATGTTATATTTTGTCGTATTGTGTGATGTAAATGTATTATGCAATGTAAATGATGTACAGTAAATGCAAGGTAAATGTCAATGTAAACGTGAATGTAAAATGTACATGTCACCGTAATGTAAATGTAAATTTGAATGAAATGTAATGCCGCGCAGTATATGTGCCGCCATGTAAACAAGTCGAGTCTGGCATCAGAAACCTGCGGTTGCAAGGTGTTTCCCTGCCTCGAGAATGACAAGCTGGAGACACCTGCGGTGCTTCATGTAGTCCGGATGTTGCCATGAGCCTCTGATAGATGGAATATGCTGGAATCATGAAGCACATGTTGCGGGTCATCGATCTGCCCCATAAATGCAGAACACTTGGATACTAATATGATATACTATTTGAATCTTTTTAATTCGCATGTTTTTTCCTTCTCAAGTCACTCAAGCCTTGTGGTCCCCTGTGCTCCCTGTCGCCATGCCGGAGCCTTCTTAGTCTTAGCATCAGGTTTCGACCTGGGGGGCCCGGCGGTGGAACACTTCTCGAAAGAGAGTTGATGGGAATTGGATTTTCATGGATTTCTCATCACTTCCGGATTCCGTTGTTCCCAAAAAAGAAACGATTAAAAAAAACATCATCAACCTGGGGTACTCACAGCAAATCGGCATAAATCGGCCATCTTTTTCGCATTGACATGGTCATTGGCATCGGGACAGGAGTCGTCCCAGGTCACACGGAGTGGGCCCGGCGCAGCGCACCCAGCGCGCCCTCACCCGGCACAGCACCAGCCTCGCCACTGCCATGGTGAAATGCCGGGAGCTGCGCCTGGCATTCTCAAGCTATGTTTCCCACAGACCAATATCTTACAACGCCGTATATATAATATATATATATAATATAATATATATATAATATATAATATATTATAAAATATCTAACTATTTTCAATTATATCATATTATATATATATATATATCTCTCTCTCTCTCATTAGCCACAACAACAACTGTTCGGCCAAACGTGTTTCACCCAGCCGTTTCCAGCCTCGTCTTGAAAGCTGGTCTCTGAATTCACCGCATCCAGCGCCATCCGCAGCACCGGTGCCACGGGCGGCCCCTGCCCGACACGTTGACTCTCCGCCGCCAGCAGATGCAACTGCCGCAGCATCGCCTGCAGACGCTGCGACCTGGAAAATCGCCGGAGCGGAGAAAAAGTTGGTGATTCGACCATGCAAAAAACATGGTTACCCTCTGGTAAACATACAAAAAGCTATTGAAAATGGCCATTTATAGTGAGTTTTCCCATTAAAAATGGTGATTTTCCATAGCTATGTTAGTTTACCAGAGGGTAAGCATAAAATGGGGGATGGATGATAGAAGTTATAGAAGCACTTGGGATTTCGGGACGGGGTCCAAAGTTGTCAACATGGATTATTTAAGACGAAAGATGACCCATTTTGTGGGTCGGGCACTCATACCCACTGCGGGGTTGAATAATTAGACATTGGATATACTGATATACTGATATACTGTATTGCCATCTGATGGAGAATGATGAGTAGCCAGTGGATTTTTGGGGTATATACCTTATCTTTATATATCTTTATTATCTTTGAACAAACCAATTTGGGATGAATGAACGCCTCTAGTTTGAGGCAGAACCACATTTTACATCAACATTTTTAAGCGACAGCTTTGGGTGTTTGTCGCATGGATCTATCCCTTTTTTCCAGGACTTTCATCCTCCATCCCCTCCAACATCCCCCGATCGGAATCCCATCATCGAATCCCATCATCGAATGAGGATATGGGTATGGGTCAAAATTAGGTACCCCAATAATTGGATGGTTAATACTAAACTAGACATTTCCATCTGTGGTCCCACTAATGGTTTTCCATTTTGACCCACATCCATATCGCCACCAAGTGTCTGATCCACTGGTTGGGAGCCTTCTGGCATCGAGTCAAGACCTGGCCACTGGCCGGATAGATGGCACCATAGGTTTATACAAGCCTTTTATACAACCCATCCCCATATTATGTAATCTATATATATATATTATATTAATACGTATATGTATAATATATGATTATATGATAGTATGTCATATTAGATGTATGTATATGTATATACAGTACAGAATATATATATCATTGTATATCAATTATACATAATTATACAGTAGTATCAAGTTTCGTTTCAGTGTCTGTTTCTATCCATGACAGTTTGCTAATTTTACATTTGGGAATGGACTTTGGGATCTGCTCTGATTAGGATTGGACAATTCTGCAGCGTGAGGGTTGGCGGTTGGCTCCCTATCCAAGTATGCTACTTGCGATGCTTGGGGGCATACCTGAGAATGTGTGCAGATGGTGCTAAGAGATGCTAAGAGTAGCTATGTCTTTAGAGGTAGCCAAAGTAAGGAGTCAACGAATTCAGCACGAAAAAGCTGCAGTGGGCCTGTCTCATGTTCTCGCTCCGTCGCTTCTGAGGCATCCCCCGAAGCAGGGGTATCAGTATGAGAATATGTACCATGTAGCACCGGTGGGCCGAAACCGAACTCCATTCCCATGTCAGGGATAGCAGCAATGACATCCCCAGAATCTTCACTGCTGGAAACTCGCTGATCGCTTCGTCTCGCAGGTGCTGTGCTTGGACGCTGTGGTCGTCGCGCTTTGGAGGCTTCCAGGAAGGCAGATAAAATCTGCAAGTCCTTTCCGAAGCAGCCAGCATTCAAACCAACTGGCTGATTGCAAATACTGGCTGATTGCACATATAGACCAAACGAGGATGCAAAAGGTTGAGTCAAAAAGTGAGCAAACAATTCATAATGTGATTTTTACGCAGCCTCTTGCCCTAAACTTGACCCTGCCCTTGCCTCTTGAAACTCTTGGATGGTCTCAGCCCGGGCTGGCAACTCTATCCCCTCAGACTCTATGTCCGCTTCACTCAGCGCCTTTCTTTCCGAAATGTCTGGGCTAGCAGCCCCCTCCAGGTTGGGTTGGGATTGTGTTCTCCGCAGCTTCCCATCGCTGGGCAGGGCTCCCGTTCGTTCCGTGACGCCGCCAGGTGGTGGCGAGTGCCAGCGCTCGCCTTTGCGGAAAGCCTTGAGATAACTCTGCTGCGGCGAGAGCTGCTGTAGGGCATTGGTGATGGCAGCCAGAACCGGGGCCTCAATGGGGTTGCCTTCCAAGCTCAGTTCGGCCAAGGGAAATGGAAGTCTCCCGTAACCTCGGAAAGTGGCATGAAGGGAATGAGTAGTGGAAACGTGTGAAGGGACAACTCAAAACCTGCACAAACTTGAAGTTCAAGCAAGTTCAAATGTCCTACTGTAACGATTATAACCCGATCAAAGGTTGCAGCAAAAATTCAAGCGTTACAACTTAAGGAGACTTAAGGCCGTAACATGCCGTAACTATCAGTAACTCCTGTCCGTTTTCGCCAGGTCACCAGCATGAAGATTCGCCAACTCAGCCCTCAGCAACTGCTGCAGTGGTCGTAGATCGTCTCGTCGCAAGCCCATGTTTCTGTGGCGGTGCCCAACATGGCCCAAACGATGGTCAGACAGTGGAACCAGGAACCACTGCCCCCTTCAATGAAATCAAGAAATCAACAACAAATACAAAAACATACAAAACCTCAAGTGAAATTGGGAACCATTCCATCATTGAAAGCTGCTGTGAAATCTTGACCTGAACTCAAGATACTCAAGTTTGAGTACCATGTAGGATATAAACCGGAAAGGGCTGGCAGACTTTTCTGCAGCTGCCAAGTTTGCATTTTTCGACGTGAAGCAAAAAACAGGCTGGTGACTAGATGAATCGTGAGCTAAAGGAACAGCTGAATGTGATAATTCTGTCACAGCATCATGGATTGTCCAAACCAGATCAGTCATCTCATGGATTCTCTGTGGATGAATCAAAGATCTGTGGACAACCCATCTGCCCCAGCCTGAGTCGAATCTTCTTGACCACCAAGCCATTTCGGAATGCCAAGCAGATCACCCGTAGCAAGTCTTCGCGACCTGACTCGATCCAAACGATCCAGGTGGCCCATCGATGAAAAGATGCAACTTTGGGAATCCCCCCAAAAAAATCCAAGAACCTCCAAAGTCATCAAAATGATCAGGAGAGGATCAGGAGTTGATCAGGAGTTGATGCCAGGTTCCACTTCTTTCGCCAAGGGACTCACTGGCAAGGCACTCTGCTCTCTTCTCTGCCAGGATCCTTACACTGTTACACCATGCGCATGGCGTTTCTTGCCATGGCAATAGCACAAAAGCACCATCTGAGATTTGAGGGTTTCTACCCTCTGGTAATTTAACATAGCTATGGAAAATCACCATTTTTAATGGGAAAATCCACTATAAATGGCCATTTTCAATAGCTATGTTAGTTTACCAGAGGGTAGACTCTTCAATGGGCCCCGGTGCAACCCCAAAAAATTTTCGGCTCGCTCAAACCTGGCCCAAGCTGCGCATTGCACCGCGGCCCAAACCAGGTCGTCGCGTAGCGCCCAACCAAGGATTCTTGGAAAGATCCAGCACATTCAGAGGAACCACCTGGCATCGTAGAGGAATTGTGGAGGTGATTCATTCTGATGGGTTGATTAGTTTCATTGGATTGGTTTAAGGGACATTTTACAGGAAACCCCGGAAACCCCGGAAACCCCGGAAACCCCCATATTTGATGGTAAAAACCTTGGTTTCCTGCAGATTTTCCCAAACCAATCCAATGATAATTTCATCATTATATGCCCCGAACAACCTGGGAATTACAGCAGTTTTGAACCACACGTCTAGTCATTGGAGATGGTTTACGGTCATTTTGGAGTATACCCCATTGTCAGACACACTAAAATATTATTGTGTTGGCTATACTGTATATGGTTTACATATATTATATACTATTATCTTATGGTACATACCCATTGTAACACAATTTTAATATCTATCTATCCAAAATAGTTCTCCAAGCTATCCTCAATCTATTCCCCCATCTATTTGTTTTCCCCAAAATGTGGTAAACCCAATGCCATAAACCATCCCCAAGTCATCACCATTTTTATGGGTGGGATGTGGGATTCCAACCATCCCCAAAAGGTAGTTGTTTATGGCAGCCAGGGTATATGGGGGGTTCCCAAATTCTGTGTGCTCTTCTGGCTGGTATCGGTCACACCGTGAAAATCACGATTTTTGCCCTCGAAAAGTCGAAAAGTCGAAAAGTCGAAAAGTTCACATGCCAGGAGATTTCGGCTCGAAAAGTCGAAAAAATCGAAAAATTCGAAAAGTCGAAAAGTCGAAAAGTCGAAAAATTCGAACAATTCAATTCGAAAAATTCGAAAAATTCGAAAAGTCGAAAACTTTTTGGCTTTTTGACTTTTTGCGAAAATTTTCCCTGGAAGAGTGATAAACCCCGTGGGGTTTTGGAGGCATTGGAGCACAGGCAGTATCCACGCACAGGGTTTTTTATGGTTGTTTGGTTGCTCTTTCCCGGTCGACTGGTTGGTTACTTTCCAGGGGAGCAGGAAACTTGCAATCAGTGTATCAAGATTAGATTTTGTATTGCTCATGTAATTAGTGGGTTTCTCTATTTTTTTGTGTTGGTTTTGTGGGTTTTGAAAGCTGGATACTGAAAACCCACAAAATTGCTGAGCAGGTATTTGGCTCAGGGCCACCAGGGCCACTACTGTCACTAACTGTCTTGAGTTGCAACCAATTTAGAGGCCAATGCAACTCATCTTGCAACATCTTGCTACCAGTTTAGGGGGCAAATAGCACTCTCCAAGCGTCTCAAGATTTGTTTCCAGCTACTGTGCCGGTTTGAGGAGTGAAACAGTGTTCGGCGCAGCCAAACTGAGGCTTTCTGGTTGTGTCGCAAGGATTCCACAGGGATGGGGCAGCATGACCCTGATCAACCAACAGGGTTTTGATGGGTTTTGCCTACAACTACTAACTAGGAGCACGGCCTCTAGGAGGCCGTGGGTTTTTTGTGATCAACGGGGTGTCATGGATCATATATGATGTGCTCGTGCAAATAGGAATTTGTTTGATGTGATATTTAAGGCCGTTAACCCCTTATTCTGGTGCAGTTTTTCAAAACAGGCATTTCGCCTAGACGAAACTAGCATTTTTGGGTTTTTTGGCCGATTCTGAAACTAATTCGACGTGACATGTTTTGCGTCATCTTCTGACGCACGAATGGAAAGTTCAAGCGCACCTACAGTAGCGTAGCATGACGCATGAGTGGAAACTTCAAGAGAACCTACAAGCGTAGCATGACGCATGCATGGAAAGTTCAAGAGATCTTACAGTAGAGTAGCATGACGCATGCATGGAAAGTTCAAGAGATCTGACAGTAGAGTAGCATGACGTATGCATGGAGAGTTCAAGAGAACTTACAGTAGCGTAGCATGAGGCATGAGTGGAAAGTTCAAGAGAACTTACAGTAGCGTAGCATGACGTATGCATGGAAAGTTCAAGAGATCTTACAGTAGCGTAGCATGACGTATGCATGGAAAGTTCAAGAAAACCTACAGTAGCGTAGCATGACGCATGAATGGAAAGTTCAAGAGTACTTACAGTAGTGTAGCATGACGCATAAATGGAAAGTTCAAGAGAACTTACAGTAGCGTAGCATGACGCATAAATGGAAAGTTCAAGAGAACTTACAGTAGCGTAGCATGACGCATGAATGGAAAGTTCAAGAGTACTTACAGTAGCGTAGCATGACGCATAAATGGAAAGTTCAAGAGAACTTACAGTAGCGTAGCATGACATATGCATGGAAAGTTCAAGAGAACTTATAGTAGCCTAGCATGATGCATGAGTGGAAAGTTCAAGAGAACTTAAAGTAGCGTAGCATGACGTACGCATGGAAGGTTCAAAAAACTTACAGTAGCGTAGCATGACGCATGAGTGGAAAGTTCAAGAGAACTTACAGGTCAAGAGAACTTACAGTAGCGTAGCATGACATATGCGTGGAAAGTTCAAGAGAACTTTCAGTAGCGTGGTATTAGGCATGAGTGGAAAGTTCAAGAGAACTTACAGTAGCTTAGCATGACGCATGAATGGAAAGTTCAAGAGAACTTACAGTAGCGTAGCATGACGTATGCGTGGAAAGTTCAAGAGAAATTTCAGTAGCGTGGCAAAAAAAGAATAACAACATATATAAAAGTCCACTGATCTTGGTTGGACATGACATGTGCAATGCACTTCATATTCAACAAAACTGGACTTTGAAAGTCATGTATGCGTTCTTGATAAAATAATAACAATAAATAAGTAAGGAACAGTTGCATAGTTCTGAGTTATCATGATACTGATAATGTAAATATAAATCAATAAATATATATATATATATATTGACTAGCACTAAAAAAATATAGTATAATATAATACAATATCATATATTTAAAAATATGATATAAAATAGTATGATATTATTTATTTTAATATGATATAATACAATATGATAAAATAAAATAGAATATAATACAATATAAAAAAAAAATATTATACAATATAATATAATATAATGTAATATAATATAATGTAATAGAATATAATATAGTATAATATAGTAAATAATAATATATTATGATATAATATATAATATAATAAAATATAATAATATAATATAATATATTAAAACATATTATGCTACAAAAAAAAAATATACAATATATTTCATAATAAAATAAAAAAAATAATATAAGATCCAATATAATATAAAATATTATAATAGAGCATAGTATAATATAATATGGTAAAATATCATCTGATACAATATAATATAATATCATAGGTAAAATATGTTTATACATAATATGTTTTAGTTATAATGCAATATAAAATAATGCAATATAAAATAATGCAATATAAAATAATGCAATATAACATACCGGTAACATCATGGGATGTCATACAGAATGATATGGTTTTGTGATGTGTTGTGTGTTATAGAAAAATATTTCATAATGTAGCATAATGCAACTTAATGTCAAATTATATAAAATAACATGGTATAGTATTATATGTGTAGCCTTACCGGGGATATTATTACTTTATTTACACATCCATTTAACAACTACCCATCTCAACCCAAATCGATGCGGCCTTTTTGTGGGTTTCTGGCTAGGCATTTTCGCGACCCACAAAACCTGGACCTCGCTTGCCTTCTGGTGGAGGATAGATGATAAGACAGGAACCCTTGCGTACCCAGTTTGGTGTATTGTTTGGGTGGTTCAAACGCAACTTTTCGCTGAAAACTCCAACCGTGGTAGAAAAGTTTCACCCGAAAAGTTGAAAAGTTCGAAAAGTTCGAAAAATTCGAAAAGTCGAAAAGTTCAGATTCCAGGAGGTTTCTGCTCGAAAAGTCGAAAATTCGAAAAATTCGAAAAGTTGAAAAGTCGAAAAGTTCGAAAAGTTCGAAAAATTCGAAAAGTCGAAAAGTCGAAAAGTTCACATTCCAGGAGATTTCTGCTTGAAAAGTCGAAAAAATCGAAAAATTCGAAAAGTCGAAAACTTTTTGACTTTTTGACTTTTTGCGAAAAGTTTTGCAAATTTTCGCGCTGTGCGATTACCGGCGAGAAGAGCACTTAGCCAAAATGGGAGTACCCCCAAATCATCCATCTAAATATATCTAAATAGGATTTTCTATTATAAACCATCCAGCTATTGGGGTAACCCCCATTTATGGAATCCTCCATATGTGTTCCCCATATCCTTGTTGGTTTCTCCATGGGCGCTTTGAACCTGGCGTTTCTGCTGGGCACTGGCCCGTGCTTGGAGCAGCCTTGCCACCAGTCTCAAGTCTCGCAGCGCGTTCTGCGCCAGCGACAGATGCGAGAGTTTGGCCAAGCGTCCTAGGGCGCGGCGCGCCAAACCCCGACGGGAATGGATGGGAATGGATGAAGGAGGCCAGAAAAACAATCAACAATTTTCGAACATCATGAAACATCATGAAACATCATGAAACATCATCAACCATCAGCCATCAACCATCAACCATCAACACTGGACCGGTTTTAAAACTCAAAATGACCACCAAGGCTCGACCCAAGTGAGGCAGAAGCTGTGCCAAACCACCTGAGTGTTGGAGTGCTGATATCCTAAGGTGTGGTTGATTTATTGACATTGTTCTTGACTATCAAAATCCACTTCTTGATCATCCCAAAAAAACTAAAAAAAAATGGTTCAAACCACCAACCAGAGTCCAAAATGACCAAAGTCTTTTCCAACATCAGTTCTTCCAAGGATTCCAGGGCTTTATGCTGTACCGAGACACGATCATGTAGCCCACATCCCTCCAAGTGCCTCGACTCAAACTTCAGTCCCTTCAATCCAGCTCCCAAGTTTTTCAAAACAACCACAAAACAGCTCAACCCACGCCAACTTTATCTGATTTATCATGGATTCGTCATAGAACTACTGAAAGTTATTGAAAGTTTAGCCCCATCATGACCCACCATGGTAGATTCCCGATTCTCGATTCCTCCATTCATCCATTCATGAACTAGGTATCCAAGGTACAATCGCTGTAACGAGGGCGTTTGGGACAAGGTTTTGGTCAGTAAGGAAGTATCGCTGTGGATGGGAAGCCCCGTAAGCTCGAGTACCTGGCGCGACTATGATTTTTTTACATCCAATCAACCAATTGGGATATGAATGGGAAATATACGAAGCTTATGGGGATATGATATATATATATAATATATAATATATATATATAAATCGAAATGGGGAACTTTAATATTAACATATATTAACCAACTTGGGAATATATCAACCTATCTATCTTAGTTTATCTTGTCTTACAATGTTTCTGTATGTTGACCATTTCACCACTATGGAGTGGCCTTTCCCAAATGAAGTGCTCCAGGGAGGCCTGTCCCTCAGCCTACCAACATGGCTTTGCCCAAAACTGGGGTAGACTCCACAGTAGAAATTTAGATAATAGGGGAAACATGAGGGGAAAAAACCTTAGAACAATCTTAGTCGTTAATATTGAAGTTCTTTGAAAATGACAATTGACAATTCACATCAATAGACCATTAGATGTTGGGTGTCCCCGTTTTTTTGGGGAAAAATCACCAGGGCTTCCATGGACAAACAGGCCACGAAGCGCTGCTAACCCCGTGCCACGAAGCGAGGTGAAGGCGGTTAAAGCCCGCATCATACGCCAGAGTTGCACCTGCATCAAGAAATGGTCAGAATCCACATGAATCCCCAAGTAGATCCCTACCGTAACCCAAAAAAAACAAATAGAAAAGTACTTCATGGCGATTTTCGTTGGGTTTTACTTTTTCTATCTTTTCATAGGGGTTCTATTAAGATCTATTAAGTATGTCTACAGTCTACAGTCAAGAAAATACCTGGATAATATAATATGATGATATGATCGTGTGCCATGATATCTTCCTTTTGGGTGAACCTCAATACTTTGAGAAACATACAATACGGTGAATTGGATCCCGAAGCGTTTTGAAAAGGGGCCCGGGCCCAGAATTTCACAACCGGCCATGCCTGGTCTTTCAGCATACTCTGGGGCATTCGATGCGTTGTGGCTTGCAGCTTCTCCTTGGGCCATGTTGATCCACAAAATCCACTTTCGGACTTCGAACATCAGTACCACTAATCATGAAACCCCCAACAAAGGAGGTAGTATCACCCAAACATTAATCATCATTAATCATCATTCATCATCATTGCTCATCATTAATCATCATCAATCATATTAGAATCATCCATCAACAGGGCATTTAGATGCTAGTGCATTTTTCGTTGCTCAGCAACTGCGCAACTCAAAATCGCCAAGTCTCCTGGTACGAACTCTCCGCGCCAAAAAACAACGAGCCATCGTAGAGCATCACCTGATGGATGCCCAGTGGAGCCTCCTTCAAGAAGATCAAGACCGGCTCCAAATCGCGGCAGAGCTGCACATCTAGAACCAAGGCCTTCAAAAATGCGCAATTTAACACTCAGAGATGAGCTGAGATGAAGTTAGGGGATGTTCCTTGATGGCAAAAATATGCAAATAGCGATAGCGAGTTTCATCAAGCACCAAGGTTTGGTAAAGTGACCAGCCTGGTTTGGAAGGGGATGAAAACAAAGCCAGAATATCTGGTTGAAGAATCATTGAAACCGTTATTGCTGTTCGCTGAGATTCCTAGACCTTGATGAGAACGAAATCAGGGAATTCGCTGGGCAGGCAGCAGTTCTGCAGCTTCAAAAGGAATCTGTTTTTTGGCAAGATACCCCATGGTCACGCAAATCGGCCAGAATTTCCTCGGATGATGCTAAAAAAACTTGTTCCGTACATCGCAAACACAATTTCCACACAGGTAAACAATCAAAACAAATAATTTTGGAAGCCACAGATCCGATCTCAGTATTGGTTCACCGTGGCTGCAGTTGGTTCATGTGGTTCAATGACTTCAATCCACCAAGACACATTGCTTGGCTGCCTTCCCAACCGAAAGCAGGCATGCTTGAAGGCATCTGCCCCCTTCTGTTGGGACACAAAGGACCTTATTTGGTGGCTTCGCTGAGCATTTTGGCATGCTATTGACCATCAAATACCAGGTGTATCATGGTGTATCTGCCCTGTCCTAAACAATGGTTTGGACACAACAGAAGGCTGCAGCTGCAACCACAGTGCAAAGACCCCACCAACCACAACAATGTCTGCATCATCGGTCTGAATGCAGCTAGGGAACACTCTAGGCGAAGCATAATTTCTTCCTGGGAAGTATCCAACAAGATGGTTTCATTAACACGATTCATGTAATTTTCAATCAATGCAGTATTCAAGCGGTGCAATTTTGCAAACATCCAATCATCCATGATCTTTGGCAGATTGCAGCAACACCCGTAGGCTGTCAATCTCCAGATTTCCTACTCTGGGCAACTACTGTTTATCCTGCACCCAAAAAACCTGCAAACAAGTTGCTGGGCAAAGTTAGAAATACAGTATTTCAACGGGGGATCATCATCAGTCCCAGTATGATTGAAAACAAAAAGTGTGAAACCACCAACCAGATGGTAGATGGTAGATGTGGTATGGTCATCCACCATCACCAAAGTGAATATATAAAGCCCTGTTCATTAAAAAAAAACATCAATTGTGCACCTCATGTTGGTGATTGTATAATCAAATCACATTTTCCCATGACAATATATGACAATTACATGACAATATATGACTATATGCGGCACATGCGCCGACCTCAGCCGGAAGCACGGGCAGCGCGTCAGAGAATACGGGTCTGAAAACCGAAAACTTGGAGGAAAACAGGAACAACTCCGCCGGTGAGTGAAACCGAACGCCACGGGTGATGCTATATTACCGCGGTCAGTCACATCTGGAAACAGGTCGCGTTTCTAGCACGCGCCTTAGTTACAAATTTGTAGAAACCCATAGGATCCATGTATGCTATATATGGTAACATTTACCATCAATATACCCCCAATGTTAGCATATATATACCATACATGGATCCTATGGGAAATAAAAAACAACTGTGTTAATAACGCGTGATTGACACGCGTTTGCGCACAATGCTCCAACACCGATTCCGTTCAATCACTCGCCGCACTCGGTTTCTTTCACGAGTAGTTGCGTGAATAGGAAATGGGGTACACTTGAAAAATGTTGCACAGACCGGTTACACAAAGAGTAGTTTACACAAAGAGTAGTTTACACAGAGCAGATTTTACACATTTGAACAGTAAATTGTGTGCAGACCAGCTTTGCAAGAAAACCAGTTTTTACAATGACATTTTTTTTACACGGATTCCCTTTGACACAGGGCAACTCTTACACGAGAGACCCTTTGCACAGAGCAGCTTTTGATAGCTTTTGCACAGAGCAGTTTTTGCACGGAACATTTTTTGTGTTCAACACCTGAGCGCTCACACGCTTTTTCCTGTCGCCAAGAGCTGGCTTTGTATTGAGACATGTGTCTCAGCCCATTGAAACGAGAGCTTCACTCTCGTATGTGATTAAAGGCCTCATGGTAGAGGAAACAAATTGTTTTAAAACAGATTCTCCTCTTGCTCAAATCTCATGGAAGAGATTAAAATTCTCATGGTAGAGAGGATTCAGTCAGCACGAACGGTTTTTCAGCGACTTCTATCCCTTTCCAAACAGTGGTGGGTGAGGTCTGGGCCCTTAGCTTGAGCTAAAAACCGCAGTTAACGACAGGGTTTCACACAATCAGTTCGATGAACAACTTTGTGTTCAACACCTGAGCGCTCACACGCTTTTTCCTGTCGCCAAGAGCTGGCTTTGTATTGAGACATGTGTCTCAGCCCATTGAAACGAGAGCTTCACTCTCGTATGTGATTAAAGGCCTCATGGTAGAGGAAACAAATTGTTTTAAAACAGATTCTCCTCTTGCTCAAATCTCATGGAAGAGATTAAAATTCTCACGGTAGAGAGGATTCAGTCAGCACGAACGGTTTTTCAGCGACTTCTATCCACGCACCCAAACGTAGTGTGCTTGAATTGGTTTAACCAATTTGAGGTGAAATGTAGAAATATTTCTGGAACAAAGAAGATGTCTTTGAAGAGAGTCGGATCGATGGGAGGTAGGATAATCCATCGGATATATATATTTTGGCCACACGGGAAGATTCCCAGCGTCCACGCAACAATGCCACTTCCATGCTATTGGTGGTCTGAAACAAATGCGTTGCTCCTCCTCTTCTTAATGAATAAGGTCTGAAACCATGTGATGAGAGATCAAAAATATCGCACAGCTGCTTGAATCTTTTGCGAAAACTGGTGTTTGAACCTGTCCAAAGTGGGCACCCCAGAGCATTCTGTTGTCTGCGTAACATAACAAGCGATCGAATTGACTCCAAAACAATAGGATCAGTAATGCTGATAGCTTCGTTGGCGGCATTTCTTTTTCCCGATTTTGTGTGCTTTAAAGCACATATGGCAGTTTTATTTCCCAGCGCAAAGTCTGAAGTGGTGAGTTGTAATGACTCACCTGTTCTCAGTAAACAATGAAAGGCCAAAACCAAAATGGTCGACATTTCATGATTTCCATGATCCAGCTCGTATGCACTCATTGCTCTTACTAAGTGCAGAGTCAAAGGGGGAGCCCTTGAGGGCATTTCAATACGTCTCCAGACGCTGTATAGTTTCCATGCCCTTGGAACCTTGTGCTTGGTCCAAGGCTCATAAAAGTGCATGGCACATAAGCCATCTGCCACATAAACCAGTGATTCGCCTTTTCGCCACATGGAGCGAACCCAATTGCACACTTTGTCATCCAGCTGGTGTATGTTTTTCGCACTTTCAAAATAAGGCAGCACTAACCTCAAGGCATTGTAATACCGCTGCTGGGTCTTAAAAGACAGCGCGGCATCATCTAAGATAATCTTTGATCTTTGCTTTGCCCGTTGAGCTTTTGAAAATCTACCAGGAACTAAACGCACCACCATCACATTCTGGAACCTTTGTCAGTAGGGTTGTCACTTGATTCCACATGTGCGAGAACCAATTGTAATCCATGTGCCAGTAACAACGCCGAAATATGGTTTAATACTCTCTGTAAGCGCCAACTGCTTGATCTTCCCTTGCTAACCACACTGATTGAAACATATGAGTCACAAATCTGAAAGATCCTCATGTCGGTTGCCTTATATTGATGTATCTGATATTTTATCCCCAGTAACAGTGCTTCCAGTTCAAGTACGTTGATGTGGTTACGTTTTTGCCACCGTCGTCTAAATGCTTCTTTCCACTTCCACCACTGGGAACAAATAGACTGTCTTGGAAATGTCTTGCTGTTCATGATCTCTCCGGATACTATCCTGATGTCAGAGCCTGTATGATTTGTTTTGCGTAAAAGGAGTCGATTGATCTCATTACACCCTGAAGAAAGCACTTGTGGAGAAATCTTAGTTGAGCCATACTTCAGTGCATGTCCAATTGATGCAAAACTTCTAAACGACGACCGATACCCCGGAGCAAGACCCAAGCGGCGTACCAATAGACTGTATGGTATCACTGGAAGGTATTTGCGACAACAAGCAACAGCTAAAATGATGAAGGAATAAATTGAAAATGAGTCACCCAGGTAGCTGTTTCTGGCATCACTATATCCCGCTGGGTTTTGTTTGATGCGTGATGTTGCCCATGCCAAAGCAGTATGACGGTGTCCATAACCAAGCAATAGTTCTTTCTCATTTGCGTTCACTAATCTCCAAGAATCAGCACTGGTGAAAATGAAACGATCTTGGTATTGATATGGGGGATATCTGTACGAATCATCTATCCATCTTTGTCGCGCTTGAGGTGATGTTTTCTCCAGCCCTGCCGGTTTAGGGGGTGGAACAGTTCGAGGAATAGATTTCATGCATGTTGGGAGAACTTCTCCGTTTAAACCTCCCTTCCAAACAAAACCATTTTCCACCCAATCTTCTTGCTCAGGGTAAGGTGCGTGTGCTTCAACCTCACGCCAGTATACTTTGTCCTGCACTAATAGTGACGCCAGGCATAAGGTTTTCCAACTGCTCCGATGTCCAACAGTAGCGCGGTCTCCTCATTGGTACCGCATTCATGCAATCCAAACGATAAGGTATTGTGCCCAAGGCTGCTGAAATTTCTTCTGTAGCCGATCTATCCATTGAGGCAACATTTTCAACCACTGTTTTTATTTCTACATGCACTCCAAAATGCTTTTCCAAAAGTTTGCGCACCCTGGGAATTTCCCAAAACAAGGAACTTTGTGGCCCCAACAAATTCTCCCTGTTGTGTTTAACTCGACTTAAGTCGACACAAGGGAAACCTCCCCATAAATGAACTTCCTTTACCCGCAAATATTGTAGGCTCCATTGTCGCACCATTGTATCATCAATGAGTTTGACGTCCTTGACAATCAAGGTCCCAGGCCAACGCCTGGATGTTATTCTGTTGGCTCCGTCATCCAGCTCCACTGCTATCCTTCCTAAAGGAGTTATAGTAGCCATGTCATAACATCTAAAACAGCCTCCTATCCCATTGAATAGTGACAGTATGAGTATAGGTGCTACGGTCTTCTCATTCGCCATCTCGTTTTGCTCCGCTGTTGCAAAATCCATTCCTTCACAAGTTAGTTGCTCTGCTGCCCCCACTGCTCCACCAGTCTCTGAAGCATCGGTTGCCACGATCTTGTCAGAAATCTTCGCACTCAAGTTGCATTGAAAAAGAGGACAGCTACACAGCAAACTGAAGAGCTCGCTCCTAACTTGCTTGATCAGTTTGGCAGTGGGTTGTGCACTTCCACCAACAAATTTCCAGGTCTGTTGTAGAAAGCTCATGCCAAGTCTTCTAAATTGTAGGGCAAAGACCCAGCGGCCTGCAAGTATTTGCGTAAACTTCCGAGACAATTTCCTCTGGGTTATCAGCCATAAAGTACTAAGACAAAGTTGGTGAAGCTTCAGCGTAGTTACTCCCAAAGTCCCATTTGTGCCATCTACTTCAGCGCCAAGTTCAGTTATAATGCGACTCGCAGAAACCCTTTTCTTTTCAGATGAAATCACTCCCGCTTCTCTCCAACATTTCTCCGCGGCTTGGTGGCACATTTCCCCCCAAGTACTTGGATCTCCAGGCCAAGTTCGTTCGCCAGCGCAAAAATTGTCAAGATATATATGCCACCAGGCTTTATCCCCTCGAGCAGCATGACTTAACAAAGTGGTAAACCATGGCGGAAGTGCTTGGCCACGAACAACTTGATTTTGAGGTTTTAAAGTGCCCTGTCTCAAAAGATTTTCCGAAATTTCCTGCATGACACTAACTGAATTTGTCCAACACATTGGAATCACTGAACAAGACAAAACATATGTAGTTCCGGGATCTCCCCCGCAGTCGTTCCCATCTGCAGCAATGTTGAACGCAAGGTGAGGTCTCCAAACTGCTGGCAATTTAAATAGATAGAATGCAGAACACATATCACTTTGGAACAACTTCAACTGTTCGGAACCTTCCAAAATGATGCTTTGCCAACTTGTAATTGCGGGGAGCCCAGAACATCCTCCTTCTATTTGTCGTTGAGTCGCATTTGAACCAGTTAAGTTCATGATAACTCTTAACACAGCACGCCCGTCTGAGATTTTCGAAGGTTTTGCAACACCAAAAAGCCCGTTCAGAACTCTAACACCCCTGACAGTGTTGACCTTAGAGAGGGGAATCCATTCACAGATTCGACGCTTGACTAACTCATGGGCAATACTGGACTTATCCCCCTCAATTATATGTATTTTCCCCGGCATCCTTGGCAGTGTAACCTGTTCTTCCGGCAATAACAACTTTTCGGGGTGTAGAAGCAACTCTTTTGTACGCAGGCCTACCCAATCCAAACAATCAATGCAACCACCATGTTCTTCTGGGGGAAGACTAGGTAAAATTTGATCCAGTGAAAGTGGTTGGCAAGTGGTGATCTCTTCCCCATTGTATCCGACATGACGACCTTCCAGTTCTTTCTTCCACTCTGCTTCTGACAGTTGAAAAGCTGAGTCGTCCTTGCTCAATCTAATCTTAACGGCTTTCTCTACGCTCTCAAAGACTCGTCTCTCGGCAGAGCTCCATTTGCCGGCTGGCAAACTAGCCGAAGAACCTACCAATTTGTTTAGACTGCTCAAAGTTACGTAGGTCCAAGCCTGTCTCGACCAGACGGATACAAAACTCTCTTTACAGACATCAGCCAACTGTTCTGATCCGAATACCTCCTCAATGGCATGCAAATCTCCTTTACGGATAGGAAAAGTCGACCCGCGAGACCTTGTTCGCGAGGACTGTGCCTTGGCGACAGACAAGTTTAACCAGCTGCCAAAGAATTCTTGTGTGAAACTTTCTGTATCAGGAATTTGCCAGCCTCCGATGATCCACCAACACAACAAACAGCCTAGCTGTCCAAACGTGGTGCAACCTTCCAAGGCCAGTGCAAAAGAGCCAGGCTTCAAATTGCCCGGCTCTCTCCCTGACGTGCAAGTGCTGCGCACGGCATCCGCCAGCGCAAAGACATCATGCTCTAAGCTCAAGTTATTCTGTACCCTCTCTGGCCTGCAAGTGCTGCGCACGGCCTCCGCCAGCGCACAATTGTCATTCTTCGTGCTCACTTGTCGGGTACCTTCTCCCGCTTCTTGCCTGCGTCTCCATCGTGATCTCCTCCTTGCTGTGAGTGCCAATTTGCCTTTCCTTTGCCTCGGCCTTTCGGCCCCTTCTTGCCTTTTCCTTTGGGCTCGCTCGCCCCTTCCTGCCATTGGTAATTCTTCCCTTTTGTTCCTTTGCCTTTCTGCCCAGAGTGCCAACCCCATAGATCCGGGTTGGATACCTTGGCCGCCAATTTGGCATGACGACGTGCCTCCATCACCACTGAAGGCCCCGCAGCGGAGTTGTCCTCCAGCGGTAACAACTCCAGGTACTTCGCCGAGCTCCATGTCCCGTCCAAGACGCTCTGGTGAAGCGACATGAACCGAGCCGCCAAGACATCGCCTACCAAACCTAGGTGTCCTTGACGTAGAAGATCCATGGCCTGAGTCAGCATGTGCATCTCCCTCATCTGTGCCATGCTCTGCCCTAACTGGGGGCGCACAATGATCGAGAAGTATGATGCCAGTTTCACTCCCACAGTCGGATCCACATGGCTCATGTCGCCTACATTCACTTTGGCCGCCTGATCCAGTTGTTCTCGTGCTTGGCCCACCAGTAGTTGTAAAACTGAACCCGGTCGTTTCTTGGACTTCTTCTTCAGAGGAGGGTCCATCTTCCTCCGGGCAGCTGAGGAGCTGCTCTCTTCCGAGGAGTCGTCTGAACTTCCTCCCCCACTCGGTGTCGGGGACCCCTTCTGCGAACTCGAGGAACTTCCGCCTCCTCTTTTCTTTCTCTTCCTCGCGGACCCTTCGCTGTCTTTCTTCTTCTTCTTTTTGGGATTCTTCCCAAACTGGTCCGTAAGGATCTTCAACAGCTGCTCTCCAGGGCGTTTCTTGTTCCTCTTCTTTTCTCGTTTCTTCAGCGCTCGGGCTTCTGCTGCCTCGGCTGCACGAAGAGCTAACTGATCCTGCAAGCTGCCTGTAATAGCTTCTCTTGTAACCACCGATCTGCGATCTTCGAGGGCCATTCTTGCGTTCTTGCGTTGATCTCCTGCATCTTCTATGGCCCTCCTTTTCTTCTTCTTCTTCTTGTCTTTCTCTCTGGTGTCTTTCAACCTCTTCGTCTCTGCAGGGTCTTTCAACCCTCCGGGGGCTCCTGACCCAAGCTCTGCTCCTGTTATCAGGTTGTCCTCCACCACAGAGCCTGAGTATCCTGACGACGAAACATCCTCTCCTGGGGATTCCGGCTCGGCCGGCGGCTCGGCAACAATGCCAGCGCCAGGTCCAGATGTCTCCCCAGCCAACCTCTTTCGTGCATTGGCAAGCCTCTCCCGCAATTCTGCTTTGCGCTCTTCTGAGAGTTCTTTCTCTTCCCCTGGGGTTGTCTTTTTCTTTTCGTGGGCGCCGGCTGGTGCCCGTTCGGGCCCCTCTGACTGGCGTTTCCTCGGGTCTTCCCGCATGGAGCTCTTGCGCTTCCCATGCGCTACCTCGACCACAGGGGTGTCTTCTTCTGCGTCCTCCTCGGCCTCCTCGATGGTCCATTTTTGGATCTGCCGTTGCATTGAGGGCCCGATGTAGTCGCGCTGAAAGGCGTCTAGCTCGTGCACTTTCACATGAGTAACATGGATTGCACAACCTTCCACATGACAAGGCCACTGTCGACATAGGTGCAACTTTCCTCTCCTTCTGTTGAACATCGATGAAAGCTCCTTGGTGATGGTGCTGTCTGGGCATCCTAAACTGCGAACATTGACAAAGACCTCCTGATCCAGGGTCATGACCGTCTTCATGACCAGGAAAGCAGCCCAAATCTCTTGTGTAGTTGCGAGACTGGACTCGGGCAATGACACTTCCAGGATCTGATGCTTGATGGGGATCAAATTTGACCAGGGTTCGGGATCCACTAGATGATACTCTGGGACAAACATTTCCCAGCCATCGTCGGCCAATCCTCCTTCTGCAAGACTCTCTTCTCCTGTCGCCATCAGCGCTTGAGTTCAGGCGCTTGGTCAAGGAAACTTGCGGAGAGTCGTCGGTGGACAGGAGTTTCTGGCCTGTCCAAAGTTCGATGCAATCGTGAGTGTTTACTTCCTGCCCTGTTGCCACGGGTGTGACGTTTGCGTTTCTTCGATTTCTTCTCCTCCTTCGTGCTATGGTGGTCGTCTTCTCTACGACGTCTGTCTCTGCTGTGATCTCTGTGCCTAGGTGGTTGAGCTGGTTCAGGTGGCCTTTGGACAGGCTTAGATTTTGCTGACGCAGAGGGATGTACTTCCTCCTCAGTGTCGTCCTCAGCCTCCTCTTCTTCTGAACTCTCCTCCACTTCCTTAGTCTCCACCTTCGCTGGCGGCGGAGGAGGTGGAGGCAAGGAACGCCGTGGCTCAACCTCGCGGTGAGCTGAGGCACCTGATCGGCGAGGTAGAGCCGCTCGGTTATCACCAGCGCTCTGCAGGCTGCTCGAGGCAAGCCTCAGCGCCCGCACAGCTCTCGCAGCTGCTAGGGCTTGCTCGTTGGCCACCTTTCGAAGGCCTGCTGAATGCCAATGAGCAGACAGTTCAACCTGAAGGCTTTCAACAGCCGAGCAGCCTAAGCACCAGGTGTCCTCAGCACTAGGGGTTGCCTGTTTACACTTATTACAAAGCATTAACTTCCCTTAGCTTGAGCTAAAAACCGCAGTTAACGACAGGGTTTCACACAATCAGTTCGATGAACAACTTTTTTACAACCAGAGGCCCTTCTACACACAGGCCCTTTCACGCAAACCAGGCTTTGCACAGAGCAGTTTCTGCACAAAGACTCTTTGACGCAGAGCAGCTTCTTCACAGAGAAGCGTTCACACACACACACATGTTTGACACAGAGACCTTTTACACCTGCCCTAAACTGCAGGAAATTGCAGTAAAAATTGCATCTATGCTGTCCTCATGGGCTGGACCTAAAATCTACATGTTGGTCTGTAAAAATGCACGAAACAACTGCATCTACATCGTCTTCGTGGCAAAATCTGCATTTTTAAGTGTGAAAATGCCAGAAACATGCCAGAAAAATAACGAATCTATGTTCTCTTCGAGGCCTCTCGGGGCCCGGCCTAAATCTGCATATTTTACTATATCATGGTGCGGGAAATGTGCTGAAATGTGCCTCATCTTTCATCATGGCATCGTGGCAGGTGGCTGTTCCAAGCATCATGGCGCTTTGAAATGATGAACTGTCACTGGCCTCTTTCGAAAGCTACCGAAGTATGATGTCAATACGGGTGTTGATGGTACACCCATTAGATCATTCCAAGTATTCCAAGTAATTATTCCAAGTATCTATGAGTTTTAAATCATATTACTACCATATACTATCATGGTTACATTACTGCCTTGATACTAATTATCATGGTTGCATTACTACCTTAATACCTCAATACACCGCCTCCTGCCTCTCCGGCCGGAGCGAAGAGGCATGGGGCCGAGTCATCACCAACCTGGCCGAAAAGATCCCAGGTGTTTTTTCCGCTGGTCTGTCTTTGGGGGATTTTGGGGGGAAGCAAGGGAATAAGCAAGGGAATTTCTATATGTTCAATGATTATAGAATTTGGGATAGTTTCGAAATCCAATGAAATCCACTCCTTTGCAGAGATTCAGATACAAGGGAAACATCACTAATATCATGATATATCGTGAAAAAAAACGTGTCTTCTGTGGATGTCAACACCAACAACCCCGGCCTTGGTCTCCCGTCTTGGTGGCCACAAACCAACCGACGGAGTTGGAGCCAAAGCTTACGCGACGGAGTTTTTTTCAGGTGATGGACATGGCAAAGTGCGGATGTTTGAGACCTGGGTGTCTGATATCACTGATATCTGTTGTGACATTTCTACTGGATGATGGCATAACATGGCATAACAACATGTTTGGGATGACACCATTGATTTTGTTGGCTGCAAAGGATTCCTGAAACACTGGACACATCATGACACATCAACATCGCTTGCGGGCTTCCCCATCCAACCCGTTTTTTTTTTCCTGGCTCTCGGGCTAAATCAACTAAGCCCCCCACGCCGATGACCACGCTGGCCGAGGCGTCTTCGGAGTTGGTGCTGCGGTCCGGGTGGGGTTCCCACCTGCTGTGGATCATTGTGGATCAATTGTGGATCCAGTTTCAGGAAAACTGAGCCATTCCTGGGACATGTCGGACATTAATGACATAAATGTGGTGGCCAGTGGCCACACTGGTGAAGTTCAACAACCGGATCATGGCGTTTTGGCCTTTTCGGATCACTTGGCTTTTTCAGTCGATGGGACCGTCCAAAAAGTCGTGGTAGCCCCAAAAAATTGTACCTGGTACCTCCAATTTCACTATATGGTTTATGGATGTTTATAGTAGATATATCATGATCATGATATATCATGATTCCCCTTTTAGCATGGCCGGACTGAATCGAATCGAATCAAAAGATCAATGTTTGGTATTAGAATCTATTCCATGGGAGGGATAATGCTGGTTCTACATCCCATTTAATATGTGAAAAGAAATCTCATTATATTCCCATCTTAAACAATTGTACAAATCCAATTTATAATGTGGTAAGCCCAATGCCAAAAACCATCTGATCACCCCCAAGTCATCAACATTTTAATATATTTTAATGGGATCTATGTTTACCATGCCCAAATGGTAGTTGTTTAGGGCAGCCAGGCCTCGCATTACCCCCATATCTGGCTGGTGCTTGGCTCAACCCCTCAGCTGGGAGCCTTTGGGACTTTTCTTTGTGCGACTTTTGGGTCGCCACGCCATCACCTGAAGTGGGTCTTGAAATGCCAAACTGGTTTGGCGTTTCTTGGTTGGTTTTCACTGTGAAATCATAGGGATTACCATTAGAACATCAGAAAACGATGGATTTGGCTATGAGTCAAAACAACCTTGTACCCCTGGTGAACCCCAAAATAGCTGGGATTTATGGATGTTCATCCCATTAAAAATGTATCTACAGGTATTGACCCATACCCATTTTCCTGCTTGACTATGCTGTACCTAGTGAACTAGTGATGTGCTAGGCATTTTCCTTGAAACCATGAAGCACATGTTGAATTATCCGTGAAATGAACTGCCCGGGCTGTTGCCCAACCCCCGGTCTCAGCAACCTTGGTCTCGTCGACAGGAGACAAGTCTCGTGATGGGCACCTGGCTCCACTGGCTGTTGGCTGTTGGCTGTTGGCTGGTTATTTTTTGCACAGGAAAACTTACTGTTTGCACAGGAAATGCTGCGATTTGCCCACTCCCTACAGTGGCCTGTTCTGTATTATGTATTTTTCCATTGCCACGTTTGATTACCGCAGGGTAAATGGTGCCAAAATATCTGTACTGTAAATCCCCCCTACTAAACAATGGTTTCTGGGCAGTGTTTCAAATTACGGGGAAGGGATTACCCCCTAGAAACTCCTGGTTTAGTATTCTAGCATTCAAGCATCTCTTGATTTCAGGGGCCCATGGAAGGGGGGGTTAATAGTAGGGGGGTGGGATTAATAATGATAGATCAACAACCGCGGGTTAGCTGTGGATGATAAAATTGATTCTGTCTCAGAATTACTATGGAAACATCATGAAACATCCATATCTGGCAGAGAAAACTCATGGCTTTCCTGTGGATTTTTCCACTCATCCATGGGCTGAATTTGAAATAATTTCCACTAATCCATGGGCTGAATTTGAATCGTCTTCTTTTGAGTCAATCCCGATCCCCGTCATGTCGCCAAATTTTCAAATTCCCCACAGAACTAGTGACCAGCCCAAGCACTGCGTTTCGGGCACCTCTCAGGAGCAGCACCTTTCGGGTGCAACGGCCCAACGGTGGACCACCCAAGTCATCCACCAGTTTTCAAATTGGGAAATTACACCGGCATAGGCCCCAAATAGCAGTGAGATTTTTTTGGTAAGTCTTCAAGTTCGCATGTTTGGTCACAACCCTGAAGAGTATCTTCTTTATCCACTTCAGTTTTCCTATGGGTAATTTCATTGACATGGCCAATCCATAAAGGTGATTAGCATCTAAATAGTTGATGAAGTTGGACTGTCTCCCTTTTGTCCCACGAAGGGAGACAAGGGTGGGAGACAAGGCAGCAGGGGCAGCAGGGGCAGCGAAAGCAGCGATCATGAAGGGAGACAAGGCTGGTAAACAGAGCAGCAAGTGCCTTTTTCTTTGATATCAGGATCCCCTACATTGAGATTCAAGAGCACCTGTAGCTGACGCTATCTGGGGAACTTAGAAAATCTCAGAGGCATGGGTGGTAACCATGGGTGGTAACCATGGGTACCTGGTTTTCACACCAAAGAACTGCATGGCTATAGATGATTCATCCCCCTTTGGCCATGTAAATATCACTGTCGCTTCATGCAGCCCCATGCCCTCCCACCTAAACAAATCTGTGCCGTGGCAGCCAAGCTGGCCTGGGAATGGAGCTAGGCTGTGCTAGGCAAGCCTTGATTATAGACCTGTGGTTTACCATCTAGTTATGACTACCGTAACTACATTTAAATATACGGTTTCTTAAATATACGAACAGGTCTTTTAGACTATCTCCGGGTTTTCCTTGGCCCGCCCAGCCATTTAAACATACGGAATCCAATTCATTTAAACATACTGCAACTACATTTAAATATACGAACTGGTATTTCATACTACCTCCGGGGCCTCGCGGTCTGGCCCGCCCTCCACATATTTAAATGTCGTTACCGTAACATAGCCATGGTTCAAATCACCAGTTTTAATATAGGTAAACCATCTATTTCGATTAGGGCCATCTATACCATGGCTATGTTAAATAAGCAGAGGGTGATAGGTGAGTACCAATCTTCATTGGGAATTCATCACTCCAGATCAACCTGCTGGATTGATCTGTTATGATCTGTTCATATCTATATGGTCTATGATGGTGTATGCATATTTGATCATATTTGTTTAGATGCTCATCAGATCACACTCTTCGATTTTGCTGCGATTTTGACCATCCACTTGTGTGAATGATGCCTTGATTATTTTGGGGATATCGTTCTTGTTGATCATGAAATGTGATTCAAAGCCTGATGCGAAGTGCAGTGTTCATGTAGAAGTTCTCTGGGCATTAGCTAGTAAGCGGCCACACATTTTGCCTACTTACAATAGAGACCAGCAACATTCATCTGGAGTCTCTTGGCAGAATCTGGAATCCATCTAAAGCACCCTGCGACAAATCAAGTCCCTGTTCCTTTTGAAATCACTTTGGCAGCAATCAAGATTCTGTACATCTGAGTTTGTCTGAGAATAGGATTCCCCCAAAAAAACATGGTTTATCATCATATATCACGTATATATATATATATATATATTATATATATACCCTCTGGTAAACTAACATAACTATGGAAAATCACCATTTTTAATGGGAAAATCCACTATAAATGGCCATTTTTAATAGCTATGTTAAATTACCAGAGGGTATATGTTATCATTGTCCTTATTAATTCAATGGCCATAGGGTGGTATCCCCATGACAAACCCATCTCACAGCCCAGCACATTGGTCCAGCTGTGCTCGAACTCACTGCATCGTTTCGGCAGCATGACGTCGTGTGGGGCGCCGGGTCTGACTGAGTTTCAAGAGGTGGTTGACACTTTGACTTCCTCCATAGATCTCCATAGGACATGGTTTGAACAAGTCTGAAAATCTCTGAAATATAAAATATCGAACGGCATTTTAGATTTATTCAGATCAGGTTGATTTCTCCTTTGATGGCAATCATGGAGTCATGCCATGCCACTGCCTGTTTCATTTGCTGGCAGCACTCCACTCCAATTCATGCGCCGAGACGTACCGCGGAAAACCAACGGCATATTTCCTTACACTGCCAGCTCGTCTTCGAGATAGCAGGTTATGCAGCACTCCAAAAGTCAGTGCAGCATTCAGCAGAGGCTGTTCCCAGAAGCAGCTGATTTTCTTTCATGCTGCTATCTGCACAAATTTCCCCCATCTGCCCCGCTTTGAAGTGAACAGGCATGAGTCTATTATGAAGCAGAGGACTGCAGAGCATCCTGAGTGTCCATGTACAGCAACCAACTTCGCATGCGAAGATGTTGTTTGGCTTAGAAACCGGCTACTTCATGATGATCCTGGTGTTCCACTCATACCCATGCTGGCTTACGATTCTACACAGGCACCTTGGGTGCTTGAAGATTTGCAGGGCTTCATTTCCTCTCGGCCCATGTCCAGAAGCTCCAGAAGGCGAGAAGCGAAGAGCTGGTAATTGATGGGATACTGTTTGCAGTAGCGCTGATGAAGTATGGCCAGCCGCGAGTCTTTCTTCAGACACATCTGCCGCAAAAGCCTCTTTGGATCATCCCATCCCAAGGACTTTTGCTGTAAAACTTGTTAAATCCCATGGTTTTGCCTCTAAAAAAGTCCGAGTCCTTACAGCCCACTTTGTTTGCCGCCGACATCAGCATCTTCATCCATGTTCCGTTAAAATTCATCCAAATCCATCATTTAACGCTGCTCAATTCATGATTTTCGATCAACATGAGTCACAACCCTCAAAAACACCAGATTTCCATAGATGTTTCCCATCGTTTGTCCCAATTTCCATAGATTTTTCCAATCATGTGGGTATGGGTCAATACCTATAGATACATTTTTAGTGGGATGAACATCCATAAATCCCAGCTATTTTGGGGTTCACGGCACGGTACCAGGGTTTTGACCCATCCCCATGTTTCATGTTTCCCAAGAAAATTCAGCACCTGAGGTCCTCAGGCGCCAGTAGCCCCTTGACTTCCAGGTCATCCAGCTGCTCCAGGACTGCTACCCACAAGTCCAAACCCGCGCCCGGAACGCCTGAAGTCGGACAGATGGGGCCGGAAAAAAAAAGGTGGGAACATCACAATGGTAGTACGTGTTTGTGATTTTAGCGTCATGCTGTTATTGTATGTTATTGTTGTCATTATCATAATTGTTGTGATTATGATCGTTGTTGTTGTCTATTGAGATTATCGATTATATTACAAATATATATACACCATTAGCATTATCCTTAGACATGAAATGATGGGACCAGAATCCAGGATGGGCAAAAAATCCTGAGAATTCCATGGAAGTAGTGATGATTCCCCTGAAATGATGCTGGGAGAAGACTCTTCCGCCTGCAGGGCTACCAGCTCTAACGGCACCCGGCAAAAAGTTGGAGGCCGCTGCGTTATCGCTGGACATGAACCTGAGATCGCACAGATGCCATGACTCCGAATCACCAAAGTTGAGGAGTTGGACCGATTTGATTTTGGGAAGATCAAAATGCCAGGTGGCAATGATACTATAAGGCAGAAGCACATGGGCCACAGGGCTGACTTGTATCTCAGGCCTTCCAAGTTTGGATTGGGGTATTTCCATAGTACCAGACTGTTTGAGGGGTGTGTCATTCGCATGATCCCTGAAGGAGTAAAACTATGTAAAACTGACCCAATAGTTGACAAAGCAAAAGTCTGAAAATCTCCCACAGGTCAATAGGACCCCCTTTAAATTCCATCCATTCCATCCATTCCATCCATTCCATCCATTCCATCCATTCCATCTCCCATAAAATATGTTCCTTGTGCCAAACAGCAGTTCCACGGATCTGGCCACCAAGAAGGGAATAAAGATGATTCCAGAAGTTGTCGCAATCACAGAGGCAATCTTCGCTTGTGGATTACCAGGATACCTTAAGGAGACTTGATCAGTGACGAGTGGAGAAGTGGAACCTGAGTTCTCTAAGGTTGACTGGTTGACTATGGAAAGACATGTTTCAACAGAGTCATTAGTGATGAAAAAAGCAGCCTCTCGGTAACCATTCAACTTCAGACTCCTGTGCCAAAGTCGCCAAGGAGGATCACGTCCAGCAAAGATGTTGACCATGTAGATCAAGGCATCTTCAAAGCTCCGCTCCTCAAGAAAAATAACTCGACAATTAGTAATTAGATGTACTTACAGTAGCTGGCGTCGCTTCGACGATTGTGACAACAATCCCATCCCCGGTTCATATTCAACACACCCTTTCTATGGTCCCAAATAAGTGGGTTCATCCCCTACTAAACCATGGTTTCACATGGTTTCTAAGAGGTGTTTGATATTAGGGGGATTGGATTAATGAACTCAACAAGACTCAACAAGTGTTACCCTCTGGTTATTTAACATAGCCATGGTATAGATGGCCCATAGAAATAGATGGTTTACCTATTAAAAATGGTGGATCTTTCCAGTTCGCTATGTTAAATAACCAGAGGGTAAAGTCAAAATGGGGATATCTTTCGATCCCATCACCATCCGATCACCAAGGCTCAGTGGCTTCCAAGCTAACGAAGGAGGGATCATTCTCAAATGAATACAGCACCGTTGCAGACACCACTGTCGTTCCCAACAAGGACAACAACACCGCGATGATCTGCTGCGTCACTGGCACAGTCCTGGTTGAAAAAAAAAACATGGTGATTGGATGATATACATGGATTAAATTATATATGCATGATACATTGGATATCATTAAGTTGGATATCTATAAATAACTCTAAATCTATAGATATTCCATGGCTCATCATGCTTATGGTTGATGATCACTGAACCAAAGATCAAGGCGTAACCTCTACGTTGGTCATAGTTGATCACCAGGTGCAGCTACCATCCTTTTTCGAATCATAGCGCCACCACATCGACCAATGTTGGATAGCCCAAACAAGCTCAGTGCTCCAAGTGTCAATGGATTGGTTTAAGGGAGAAATTACAGGAAAGCCCCATATTTAATGGGGAAATCCATGGTTTCCTGCAAATTTTCCCGTAAACCAATCCATTGAAAGTGTTTATGTTCCAATTAAAAAAATCCCAAAATTGGTCCGCCCGCCACTGGAAAAAAACGTCACCTTAAATTGTGAATTTGACCATGGCCAAAATTCACATCATTCCCCAACAATATGGCATGACAAAGACGCTGACCGTTAAGCCAGCAGGGTCCTAGACCAGCGCCATTTTCCACGGCCACTGTCCGAGGGAAGGGCAACCCGCAGAAGACCTCGATAGGATCAGACATATGCGGTTGATACGACTGGTGGACTGCTGGATTTATAAACTGTCTGCTGGTTGATTTAGCATGCAGAATTCTTGGGAAGAAAATCCATTCAAATCCATCCAAAATCAAATCTTAATCAATTGTTTGAGAAACAATAATAAGAGGGAACCATAAATTTGGACATCAAACAGGTTTCCTCTTAAGGTTCCCATTCCTACCAACTTCCCAACTTCAACTATGAGTTGGACTTGGAGCTGCTAATGGTCATAAATAAACAACTACTCGTACAGTAACTACTCCCTGGTTGAGTGCACATGCACGTTGCAACCTGAGGCATGTGCCATGGTGATGTGATAGTTTGAACTTCTTACCTTTCAAATTCTTTGAACACTTGCAGCAAAAGAAGACCAATATGATCCAATGCTTGGAGGTCCACATATCCGCACTGGCATACTATCTCTATTGCAGAGCAATGAATGGGCGACGTAATCCTTTCTCGTTTTTCAACACAAACACTGAGAAGAATTTCCATCAAATCCCATATGTTTGTGCAAATGAATTGGATACATATGTATGCATGCGTATAATATATATATATATACACGTGTATACGACACAAACACGTACATGTATACATGTGTATATATATATAATTATATGTATATATAGGCTCGTCCAGGCTTCTGGAACTACCTAAACCTTGGGGTAAAGGGGTGGGGTGGGATGTTAACGTTCATGTGAACTTGCGGCAGCAGTTGATGCTACGCACACGCGGGGTGGGGGGGGGTGGGGTGGGATGTTAACGTTCATGTGAACTTGCGGCAGGATGTTAACGTTCATGTGAACTTGCGGCAGCAGTTGATGCTACGCACACGCGGGGTGGGGGGGGGTGGGGTGGGATGTTAACGTTCATGTGAACTTGCGGCAGGATGTTAACGTTCATGTGAACTTGCGGCAGCAGTTGATGATGATGTGATGATGATGATGATGATGATGATAATGACCCTAATGAAACTTGTTAATTCCGCGACGAAATTTCGTCACGGAATGGACAAGTTTTACCAACCTAATTCAGGTTTAGGTAGTTCCAGAAGCCTGCACGAGGCTATATATACATATTATATATAAATGGGTGTCTAAATGTCTTCTTCCAAAAAGCGCCGTTCAGATCATTCTGATGGGTGTCTGCTTCTTACTCTGTACATTTGCTGTGGTTTCAAATATCCCATCATATGATCATTGCTGGATATCTTGAAAAAAAAGTAGTTAATAACGTCTAATTATTGGCTAAGAATCTATCCATCTATTCTCTCATTGTATCATGCACAATTGCCGAGGGATATGTTTTTGAAAAGGGCTCCCGGGTATCACCTATTCTTTCGCCATCCAGCGACGCAAGAAGCGACCAATCTGTAGAAGGTCAGTGGTCTGCTCCAGACCGGGACCACCTTTTTCCAAGCCCCAAACAATGGCTCTGAATTGGATGGGATATAAAAAAAGAATAGGGGGAAAATATGGGAATATGAAATATAAGGAATATGATGGGAATATTAAATATCGAAATAACACACTCCCAATAATATGGGATATGATATAACATATTAAACTATGATATAGGATATGCTGGGAATATAATATGGGAACATGATGGGATATAGTCTATCCTGGCAATAAAATATGGGATGCCATACATTAAGTTTGGTTTTAGATTTCTTTTGTATCCCACAATTTGGTTTATCAGATCTCATCATGTGCATTTCTTTGGGCTCTCCCCAACTCGGGGCAAAAACATCAAAAACCAGATTGGTTTGGCGGGGATTTGGCTTCTAAGAGTCAGGCTCATCATTTCTTGGGATGATTTTGGGATATGGGTTTGTCCAAAAACAGGCTACCCCAAAACCCATCCAATGCACCATTTCCCCAATGTTGATGGCTATTGGTCGGAGTATCACCATCTAAACCGAGACACAGAAGAATCATACAAAATCATAGGTCCTTGGCCATATCGCTACTCATATGTCAATATATCCCATTTTACCTCTGCAGTACATCCCCAATCCCCAGATCTGCGCACCGATAATTCTCGCAGGGATGCACAGCACCGGGAGGCAGCTTGCTACGTCTAGAGCACCGCTGCCCGTGAAGAGCCAGGAGATATCGAACTCGTTGATCCTTAGCCATAGGAGAGTTCACCAACAAAATATGGTGATTTAATTGGTATTTAATGGTATTTAACTTATTTAACCATGAAACAATGTTGATAGTAATGGTAGGTCAAAGGGAAATCATAGTTAATAGTGGTGAATCATTGATACCTATGGGAAAGTTCACCAATATGCGATTAAATATTAATGGATGATTAATGGATAATTAGTGGATAATTAATGGATAATTATGGGAAAACCCTGCTGGTTGATGATTCTATGGAGGTTTCCTAAAATGGGGCTACCCCAAATCATCTAAAATAAGACCATATGGGGGTTTCCTAGAATAGGGGTATCCCCAAATCATCTATTTATAGATGGGATTTTCCCTTATACACCATCCAGCTATTGGGGACCCCTATTTCAGGAAACCTCCATATTAGTATGAAAGGATGATTGATCAACATGTTTGCCACAGAGATTGCTGTGCTGGGGTATGCTGGTATCCACACATCCCAACCCGGCCCTGGTCATTGCTAACGCGTGAACAAAGCATGATGCTGTTCTTTGTCATTGCCCCTTTTAGACTCCACAAGCCAAGTTTCAAATCATGATAATTGATAGGTATAGCAGGAGATGGGATAATAATTAATTAATTGGCTTGTATTGAACATTGATTCAAAAAATGTCGCAGACAATTATAGAATAGATAGCAGTACGGCTTCATGATTTGAACAACACCGTCATGATCAATGAACAAAGCTTGACAGACTTAAACTGTATAGTCGTTGATCCCAGGCGGAAACTGAGACAGCCATTGAGAGGTCGATCTCAGTTGGCCCAAGAGCCAACACGATTCTCCGCCAAAGCTCCAAAAGAGCAGCAAAAATTTGATGAAAAAGGACACGTTCACAATATCCTCGACCTCCTTCAGGAATAGCTCGCCTCCAGGGCTGCCCATAACATGTTCGTGGGCAGCTCTGGGGTCAGTGGTCTCAACACGTCTAAATCCCCAAAAGCGGATGGTGTCATACCAAAAATTAGCAAAAAGAAACATGATGGTTGATGGTGTCATCAAAAAAGCAATGGTTTGATCCAAAAAATGATCAAACTTGGGTGGTTTGATGGGGTCCTAAACCTTCACCCAAATGGCCCTTAAATTAGTCACATGTCCCGCCTGCAATGTCTGGGGATACCACACGGGTGACAAAGCAAATGGTGCCCAAGGCCACAAGGAAGCTCTCCTGAGGAGTTTGGCCACTGACATGTCACTGAAACCGATAGATTACGGGTGTTCCACTTGCTGTGACAAAAGAGGTTCAAACATCTTCAAAATCCATCATCAGTCTGAAATTGTGTGCTGACTTCGCAAATCCATCAGTCTGAAATTGTGATGCAACATACTTCCACCGAGATGCTACAACACGATATTGCAGGGGACCTGTTTCTTCGCATTCAACCAAGTACCTCAGTGGCAACGTTGATGGCTACTGAAATTGGCAACAGATGAATACCACGGTCTTAACACTATTGATCCACACCCAAACAAGTAGCTGGCCATTGAAAAGCTTGCCAGAAAGTGGGGCCTTCGCTTGAGAGGCACGTGCTTCTAGTCGTTCAGCCGGGGTACAGGTATGTAAAGGTAGCATTTCACGATTTCATAAAGAGATATAATCCAGAGAGGAAGAGAGAGAGAGAGAGAGAGAGAGAGAGAGAGAGAGCCTAATGTGTATATAGATATATAAGTAGATTCAACTACATACATATATATATATATAATTAAATATGCATATACCCCCATCATCTTAAACCCCAACAACCCTGATTTGACCAAGAAAACTGCCACTGTGGAAACCCCTCCCGGTCCAGCTTTCCATGATCGACGGCTCCAAAAAAAGGTCTGTACAATAAAATCCAAAAGGTGCAGTTTTGAAATCTGTTGATCATACTATGATTCCACATCAAATTCATTCCAATGTCAAGAACATGTTCTTCAGATTTCTTCAGTCCTGATGACAGCCTTGTTTTTTTTGGGCAACCTCCCCTCCAACATCCAGCTGATAGCTACCCCACCAACCACCAAAGGCCCAGTGACTGTTTGAAACTTTCCAACTTGTCATTCAGGCCGCCTCGCGAAGTCACCTCGCTGGACACTTTTAACTGGAGCCATTCGTCTGGGTGATCGTCACCCGAAACGATATGGAAATATGGTGTAAATAACTGTAAATCTATGATATAATTATGTAAATCTTAGATGATATATGCAAATATTTGTAAATTTATTGTAAATATGTCATTTAATGTCATTTATCAACTGTAGACAATTTATTGTGTATGTACTTCAAGTACTTCTCGTCAAAGCGCATAAATTGTTGTTTCTGACATTTTCTGACCATCAGCAAAAAACGAAACGATCGAACCTAGACCTATTCTACATGTGCCACAGAACTGCGAGTTCCCACCAAAAAAAAGGGAACATAGCATGAGATAGCCATTTGGGTGTGTCTGAAAATAGTGTACCCCTAAACCCAATGGTTTTGCTGATCATTATCCCGTTTTTAAATGGCTATTTCATTGGGGAATATACCCAACATTTTCAGACAAACCCATTTTTTACATCCCTATCTCAGCTATCTCAGCTCTCTGCCTGGGTTTTTCCATCCGGCAGCTCCATACGCTTGGCATATTCCGCACGAGAGAGGACACCATCACGGTTCCTGGGGGATGACACCAATAGGACGTGTCATGTTTTTGTCCAAAAATGGTCAATATATATATATATATATATATGTGTGTTTTAATATGTTTTAATGGTAAATACACGTTTAAAAAACCAAAAATATTGATTTTAATGATTATAATGATTGTAGTTCTTAGTGTGATTGCCGGCAGTCGGTAAGCTAGCGTGAGCTTGCTATCTGTTTTTTCTTGACCAGTACTGAAGATATCACGGTCCGTTGACTCCGTGTGAGTCTGAAAATAGACTCTACATGGCTGTACCATGACTAATCTCATGGTTTATCACGTCCCCTAATGGAAAAGGCCATATTGGGATGTACCACATTTTTGGACAAAAACACAGTAACAATAATCAATAATAAGAATAGCAAAAATCCGCCCGCACCGAAGGTGCTGGGGCGTGATCGTCCGGATGGCACTCGTAAAAGGTTACAGGTTTACCTGGGGGGGGTGGCATTTTTCGGCCAAAACCTCCTGTTTTTGATAGGTCGTGACGCTCGCCTTCAAAAAACACTGTAAAAAACAGTACGGAAGACACCTGTTCGTGAACGCGCCCGTCCAAAATCGGCAAGCGAAAAGTGAAAAAACCCTGTGTTTTTCACCTTTTTGACCTCAATTTTTTGGTTTGCAACATCTTTTTTTGCGGTTCCGCAGGTGGCCGGGTTTTGGACCCGTTTTCGGACTGATTTTCGTCGTTTTGTGATAGCAGAAACACTGGTTTTTACAGTGTTTTTCTGTTTTCTGCATGCTTGACGGCTAGCTTCAAAACTTCCAAAAACCTCGTAAATTACGCTGTTTTATGTTACGGTGTGAATGAAAACATCGTAAATACAAGTGTTTTTTGACGTTGGTTAAAAAAACATTGTAAATTACAGTGTTTTTGGCCTCAAAAACCATGGTATTTGCAGTGGTTTCTGCTTCTCACCGCGCAAAAACACTGTAAATAACAGCAATTTCGCCGTTTTTTCATGTTTTTCGTTATTTTTTGAACTGCGCTGGTCCGCTATACATGGCTATCCAATTCTTCGCGTTTTTTTTTCCGACAGTCAGTACTTTCGGATGTTTTTGGTCTCAATGGCCGACATCATTGGCAGTTACGAGCGGTCGCGAAGGTGTGAGAACAACATCGTTCAAACCGTGGCGGCCACACAGGGGTTCTTGTCGCGGAGCGACGCCAATAGAAGAGAACAATGGCAGTAGAAGAGAGCAATGGCTGACATCATTAACAGTGTGGACCGTTCACTCGATATGTACATATATGATCTTTATATATATAGATATATCTCTCTATCTATCTATCGGTCTATCTTTCTCTATTTTGGTTGGCCGACATCTTTGCCAGTGTGGAGCGTCCAGACAACAAAAGCCTACATCTTGCAGATATGATACTTATAAAGCTTTCAAATTTATTGCTTGGTGCAAGGCAGCACCACACAACCTCAGGTTCAGTTCTTTTTTTTGCTCTGGCCGCTCACGGACGGAAAGTCCCAGGATCCACACCAGGCAGAAAAAAAAACAGTATCGCCTCTATACTCTATGTCCGTTTTGTTGTTTGGGTTTCTATGAAATCAGGTTTGTCGTTTCAATCACAAAGAACGTCTTCATCCGACATGCCTTTTCATCATCATGATTACCATCATCAAATCTACAATCGTGCGTGCTCTTTACACTTTGATGTGTTGGTTTTCTATGGAAACGGTCATCATGATCACCATCATCATATCTGCAATCGCACGTGCTCTTCAAACCTTACGCAAGGGAAATAAAGGCCTTCTTTGATTGGGTTCCTTACCACCTGCTGCAGCGCCCCCTGCCTGGGAACCATGAAGAAACACACGCTCACCTGGAGACTGGTCACATATATATATATATGTGTGTGTGTGTCTGTATGTATGTATGTATGTATGTATATATATATATATACATATATGTACATATGATATATATATATATACATATATGTACATATGATATATATATATACATATATGTACATATGATATATATACATATGACCTATTGATACTCATTGATGCATTTCAATCTATGTGAAACAGTATGTCATGACATCTTCCACCTGTGCGAGGCTCAAAACATGTAACACCGCTTGACCTTGTCTGCGAGTGCATGGTTGCACTGGCCTGCCTTCTCACTTCCACCAAAGGTAAAGTCGATCATGAATGGTTTGGTGAAGAGTCCCGAAAGACACCTGTCTCAAACAAAGGGCTTGTCACGCCCGTTGCTGATCTGTCACATCGGTCATATCTGTTGCGTCTGTCCCATCTGCCACGATTTCCAGCAGAGGTCAGCAACTATAGCTAATGAGCAAACAAACTGTTCACTCTGTTCAAAAACCGTCACTAGTACACACACGGCCTCTTTTGTTCCTGGCTGACAGTCCCAGACTCGCCGTCTGGTAGTTGTTTGGATCAAGCATTCACGCATTGTCCCTTTGAATCAACAATTCGACTGTCTGTCCACTTCCTGAGACAGCAACTTCAATCCAAAATCAACACTGCTGCGACGCGCCCACCATACGAACCATGAGAACCTTCAACAAAAACATTGCCAAGGAATTGCGGCCTAGACACAATCCAACCCAACTGCAAACCAGCTCTCCCGGATGCGAGCCAACGCGGACACACCTGCCCGTGACAAATACTCTTCACCTGGAAGGCTCCGTCCTGCAAGGGATCCACGCACTATTCCGATCTCTCAGTGAAGACAAAACAAGACTACCTCAGCCATCTCGGTGTAGATGCTACATCTTCTACCTTTTAAACAACTCCAAAAATGCACAGTTCTGTTCATGCATGTTCATGCTTATGGGCAACGTAGTCACCCTGCTTTGACTTGGGGTTGAGGGAAGTTACTCAGTAGCATCAGCACTCTGAATTGGTAATGGACATCGCAACCCTTCTCCTCTCATGATTGAATCGTGGCATGCCACTGAAGCAAGGACCTCCTCCCACTTGCGCAATTCGCCCTCTGGCAGATCCTCAAATGACACAACCTGGGAGCGCCAAATGACCACATGCCGCGCAATGACTTCCAAAAGACATCGAGCCATCGAGTGGCTGCGCAGCCTTGCCAAAAGGGTTTGCTGCCAAGGGTGCGCACGGTGCAATCCCATTGCCTGGTAGAAATGCAGCAGCTCTTTCCTTCCTTCCCCCTGACGCGCAGCAAGCACCCAGGCCGGGCGCTCGCTTCTGCATTGGGACAACCAATATTCTCGGGCCAGAGCCACAGGTTCCCACTTGTGCGAGGACACGAAATACTCCAATACTTCACCCCCTCTGACCCGCTCCTGGGCTTCTTCCGACTCACGAAACCGACCAATGCTTTCTGTCGCAATGTGCTCGATCAACCAGCACGGATCCGACGCCTGAGGCCCCCACAACCCTTTGAATTATAGGACCGGATAACCCCACATGTTAACAACTTCTCCGGACTTAAACTGAGCACAGAAAAGCAATAAGGGAAGAGGGAGTATGAGAGTGATGGAGGGTGATGGTGGGTGAGTTTGTGTGTATGTATGTATGTATGTATGTATGTATGTATGTATATATATATGTATGCATGCATGCATGCATGCATGCATGTATGCATGTATGCATGTATGCATGTATGCATGTCTGGGTGTGTGTGTGTGTACCATCTGAACAGATGTAAAACTTCTGATTGGTTTTCACTAATTTGCAGGGGGCACCTGGAGCATGGATAGGTCAGGTGCCAACGAAGACACCTATCCAATGCTTGTGATATCACGGCTGATCACCGTGACGTACCTGCCAATTTACTGAAATGGGAAGAGGCTCAACCCAAGAACCTCCACGTCGTCCATTTGAAATTTCAATTTACTGCACTGTTGACGCAATCTGGAATCAATTTTGACACTTACATGCATCAGAACCTTCCTCAGATTTTCGCCGAAACCATATCGCCGACAGTATTATGTTTTTTGACTTATTTTCGCCGAGATCCTGTCGCCGACGAACTATGGGTTATTTTGGGAAACAATCGCCGAAACATTATTTTGGATTTCAACATGCTGGTCAAAAACTCTATGGAATCTGGTTATGACTACGTTTGACAATTTCGGATGCCCTACATCGTTTGCGAGAAGTACCTCATGTGGCTCTTTTATTCATCTAATAATCTAGGCTGGTTTGCATGTTTCAGGATTCAGTTCCTGCCGGATCATATAATGATCCATTCTTGTCTAGTGTGATTTCCATGGTGGCTCCGACATGGTGCCATGGAGCCATTGGAGGCAACCCTCTTCAGGGTGAGTGTTGACAGACTTGAATTCTGAATTTACACGTTTCAACTCAGTAATTCATTTAAGTAAAGTGCAACAGCCAGCCTTTCGGTTATTCGCCTTTTGTGATGTCCCGCCGCTCCTATTGTCCCAGGGACCCCAGTGCTGCGTTCTTTCAAGGGAAGCCATTCCGAATGTTCTGAAACCTCCGTTTTTTGCAGCTGCTTTGCAACACCGTTGCATCAAATCATGACAGAGAAATCAGGCAGGCACACGACTTTCAGGTGTGGTGATCCTTTCTTTTGATGGTTGTCTGGTGAGGTGAAACATATTGTGCACCTAATTCGTTGGAACTTGAAAGCTGTTTTATGCCATTGCGGCACGACTTGACCACGGTCCCGGTGCAGGGAATAATTGCACGATTTTGTAGGTAGTTAGGGACTGAATCCTGTATGTGAAACTTTTTACAATTGTCCACTTTTGTTTTGACCTACTGAAGCGATGCATCCGTGGAACACTCCAACATCATGGCCTGCTCCACCACAGCCTTCGAACCCATCTTCGACGTGGCCGCAATCGACACCGAGTGCACATTTATTTGGACACCCCTCGGCTTTGCATCCTACATGGTCATCCTCCGCTTCGCTCATGCCGTCTACATCCGCCCCAACATCGTTGCCGTTCACCTCATTGACTTCGGCTCCTCATGCAGTACCA